TTTAGAAGCTATCCAGTCGTTTTGGGACCTAGCTTTATTTTCCGTCGGTATGAACTTCCGGACGAATGTAACAGAATGAGGAACAAAAACACATGAGATAGTGTCCCTGACTTTTGAGCCAATGGTTATAGGGCCTATTTTTCTTAACATCATATGTGACATAAGCGGACGACTGTTACCAAAGGAAAGACGAACTTTACTATGAATGGTCTACCGCTAATACAAAAATACAAGAGATGTGAAAAGGCCGGTGTAGCTTTCTACACGATCAACCGCGATATAGCTAAAAGAACAAGATGGCAGGCAAAAAAGTCTATTTCGGAGTAACCTAGTTACTTTAATATCATATGGTGCCATTCTGTGGAAGGCAAGCAAAATGTATCTTAGAAGGCTCGCAAAGGTACAAGAAACGGCTGTAAAAGATTATGGGAATTAATCGATTGCGATGTAAAACAAGACTTAAAAGATTGTCTCTTCTACCTTTGCCAGTTTTTACGAAATGCATGCACTTCTTGTTTTTTTTTGACATAATCAAAAACAGATTCAGCATCGAGTGTAAGCTGTTAGTCATATTAGGTGAAACAACGCAAAATACACGAGCTAGCGAGTTAGGGTATATTAAACAAGATCAATGACAATAACAAGGCAAGTTAGCGATATCTGGTCCAGTGGAGTAATCCTTGCGAACCATATTGGGCCAAAATGAGCCTAAATTCAGACAAAATAAGTCACCCAAAAAGCAAAATAACATAAATATGTAACAGTTACTTCAAATAGAAAATTAATCTCGACATTATTTGCTACTGGAGACTGTTATGTCTCTGTCAAAACTATATAAACCAACACAAACTCAAGAAATTTTTGCTAAAAAGTAAATTTCAAACGTTTTTGCTACTATGTGCATCGTCAGGATTGTTACAATAAACTAATCTAAATGACGAAAAAGCATCATATTACAAATGTTTTTTACGATATTTAACATACATTTTGGTTCTTAACCATCATGTTAAAAAATTAGCCAATCACAGTTGACCTCTAAATTACTATTACAATTTAAAAAATTTTAACATCTAAAATTAATTGAAAAGTTTTAGATTAAATTGTCTGGAAGTTTCTGAGTCATAATTTTGATTTAGACATGTACGTTTTAAATAAAAAACCAAAAACATTATGGGACTAATTTTTCAGTATAAACGCCCTGCTCCTAAACTCATCGCGCGTGTTCAAGCCCTGTTTCTCTTTCCTGATATGTATTGCCTCTAGTGTTAACAATTTTGTTTGGTTGTTTGACCTATCTATAATTTCCCAATTAAGATCTGCGCTATTTCCCTCAAGTTGACATTGCTGAAGGTGGAGGCCTACCGGTGAGTCTGCTTTCTTATGTTCCTCAATTCTAGTGGTCAAATGTCGAACAGTTTTTCCGACATAGGCGACATAGGTTGAAATGCATTCACTACATGACAGTTTATAAACCACTCTTGACTTGAGGTCTTTGAAAATGCTGTTTTTAGTGATGGTAAACATGGTTCTAGTTTTCTTGTGATGAAAACCACTTGAACGTTAGTTAATTTTTGTAACCTGTTACCACGATATGGATTTGTTTACCTCTATTTTGCACCATCAGCATTGGGGGCTTCACATCCTCTGGTGGTTGAATTGACAAACATCTCTCACTATCAATGGGCTTGCCCTTATCCTCGATAATTTTGCACAAGGCGTATGAAGCCACCTTTGCGGACCAATTTTTAGGGTACTGATTTGAAAGCCATTGCGCCCTTATGTTGCCCCCAGTTAGATGTACTCCCAAATACACTGTGTACAGTGCCTTGGATAACACTACGCTTATACTGAGTTGGGGCGCAGCTTCTATAGTTCAGTATAGCCCCTGTATCTGTTGGTTTTTGATACCAACTGCAAGTTAGACCCCTACCCTGCGATACACTTTTGTTCAAATCCAGGATTAATGTCCTCTAGAGTGAACTGCAGATTTGGATAAAGAGAATTGGCGGCTTCGAGGAGACAACTCGGCTCCCCTCTGACGGATCTAACAATGCAATCCACATACCTGAGGAACAATGTCATCTGAGGAGTATTCTTCTCCTTGTTTTTAGCGCGGCAGCAGCTTTTAAAGTACCAGACTATCTCGGTTATTGATGCGTATACGCCTTCGGGTGTTTTTCTGCATTTTGGATGATACCAGTTTCGGCAACTCTCGCATTCAACCCCCTTCGATCTCTATGTGACTTTCCTGCTGCAACATGGGCACAAACCGTTTTTGTCATTAATGTGCTGTGTCTCCGTTCCCACCGGTAGTTCTTGTTTTAGAGCAAACTCGTACTCTTTCAGCATAAGTTTGCCAGAATTACAGCGAGGGACGCGCCCTTTGCTAAACCATCAACTTGCACATACCATGAATCATTACACTTGAAATATACTTTGCTGACCGCCATATTCAAAAGCCTTTCCATGGTTGCTCTTTGAATTTCAGGAGGACACTCTTGGCTGTACAGCTTCTGAAAAGCAATTTCAATTTCCTTGTTCAGGGGAACGTTGGTGTATTAACTTTTCACATCAAGAGATATTATGGTTTCATCCTGATCTAGAGCAATGTTTTCAATTGTTTCTCTGGCATCTTTAGTATTGGTTTCTATATTGGCTCCATCGATGTTGTCAAATAACTTTGCAACCATTTTGTTAAGATTCTCATACGAGCTGCCTGGAAGTGATAGTACTGGTCCTAGGGGTGTCTCAGACTTGTGTACATTGGCTAAACCGTACAAACGGGCGGATTGACCCCTGTTGAACTCATTTTAGAATATAACTGATCACTTATAAAAGGTAGAAATTGATGGCAGATAACTACAGACCAATCAGTTTAATATCAATATGTTGCAACTTATTCGAAAAAATTGTTCGAAAGCATTTAATGGACCATTTCAATGAAAAAGGGCTAATAACAAATGCACAATACGGTTATCGATCTGGACGTTCACTGAACTTACAACTCCTGAAAGTAATTGATGACTTCACCAGGGCAAGGGACAAACATGAAAATGTCGACGTGATATACTTGGACTTCAAAAAAGCCTTCGATTCGGTACCACACAAAAGACTAATCGGAGTTCTTAGACAGTACGGAGTAACTGGAAGAACCTTGAACTGGATAACAGACTTTCTTTCGGGACGAAAACAGAGAGTGGTAATTAACGATTCAAGATCTTCATGGCAGCCAGTGAAAAGTGGGATACCCCATAGTTCAGTACTCGGCCCAGTACTGTTTTTGATATACATCAACACAATGCCGGACAAAATAGCGTCAAAAATATATCTGTTTGCTGACGATGCGAAATTGTACCGTTAAATTGAAGACAAATTGGATGTAACATGCCTACATGAAGATTTACAATCACTAGAAATTTGGTCAAGCCAAAGTCTTTTGTCCTTTAATATCGACAAATGTGTTCACATGACAATAAGAACCAAGAAAATGGATAGGGAGAGGCTTTATAAAATCAATTGCGAAAACATTAAAGAAGTGCAACTCGAAAAAGACCTGGGTATCTGGCTTGACAACAAACTGACATTCGAAACACACATCACTAAAAAAGCCAATAAGGCAAACGGCATGGAAGCAGTAATTAAGAAAAAAGTAATTCACTAAAGTCAGGAAACAAATATTTTTAAACATCTACAAATGCTTGATACGGCCACACCTCGAATTTGCGAACCTAATCTGGCACCCAAGATTGATCAAGCATCAAAAGATCTTGGAAAACGTACAAAGAAGAGCGACGCGTCTCGTTGGTGGTATGCAAATTCTATCCTATTACGAACGCCTTAAAGAATTGAATCTATCATTGCTGGAATACAGAAGGAAAAGAGGGACATTGATAGAAATGTATAAAATCTGCTATGGTTTGTTTGATAGGAATGCCACTGCGGGACTATTCGAGCGGAATGATAGGGATTCTAGAGATAACGCATGTAAAGTAGTAGTACGCAAAGCAAATCTAGAAATGCGAAAAAATTTCTTCACGATAAGAGCACCTCTCGACTGGAAAAATCTGCCACAGGAAACAGTGCAAAGCAAGACCATCGACGAATTCAAGTGGAAACTGGACAAACATTGGAAAGCGATTGGAATTGATATAAACGAATTCGAACGGAGATAGGAAAAAAACATTTGAAATGACCACAAGAGGCACTGCCTAATAGTCATAAAAACTTGACTAGACTTGACTTGACTTATCTCGTCTCTTTTAATGGCTAGTAATTTGTGTTAAGTTCCTTCTCAATTTTCAGTAAATTTTCATCAGTGGTTTTGTATTTTTTCACAAACTGAGCAGATTGCAACAAGGATTACGGCTTTGATTCATACGTTTGTTTCCTCATGCAAATACCAACCCCCTTATCAAAAGGCAAAGCCAGCAACCCATTATCTTTGAGATATTTCCTCGTTTTTTCAACGGCTTTGTCTCTTGGGGTTTGCCTTAGGTTTTTTGCATATGCCTTTGCCGCGGCTTCTATTTCACATAAAGTTTCACCAGATGTTTTTTGATTTTTCAATTGTGATAGGAAAATGTTGATATCCGCCAAAAAGTGTGTCTCGTTAAATTTTTCGCTAATCGGATGCTTCGGGCCCATTGATAGCACTTCATGTACCCATCCAGGTAGTTCAATATTATACGGAGAATGGAATCAATAAAACTTCTATAATGGGAGAACTTTAACTATTTTGTCAGTGAATAGAGCTTGAAATCGAGAACCAGACTTGGCAATTAATTCTGTAAATTGTTTTTTTTTTGAACTCATAAAATTTTTAGGCCGGAAATTCATAATAGCAAACTCCAGGACTTCAAACTCAAATGGTCTTTGGCAAACTGAAACTCAGGACTAATATCCCTTGGGCGTTTGCCCTAAATTCTGTATTATTATTGTTTTTTTTATAATACCAAAAGTTGTTGATTGTGACTGATGGGTTTTGTAATAGTCATATTTTCAGATCTTGTGAGACTGCTATGAAATGCCAATACGAAAAGGTCATGTAGCACCCCAGAACACGTTTGTGAATTACATCATCAGAAAATTTGAAACTCTAGGTTTGTCTTTTCTTTTGTCCTTAACTGCTGGACTTTTTGAGGTAACAAGGAGTTTTACTAGGTCCAGTATGAAGACAAATTATGTCCGTCATGGCCTAATTAGTCTTACTAATTTTTGAAATTAATAGGACATTGCGAACAAAAATTTGCTGAAATATTTTGCCGGTTGGTGGGGGGCTTAGAAAGAGCCAACTGCTGCATCCAAATTTGGTCACAGGAGTTTAAAGTGTCCTAGATGAACGAATAGAGTTTTAATGATCTATGTATAGCAAAAACTCTTATAAAGTTTGCTCACGCTCATCTTTAAATTTCGGTGGTTTGATATTCGCCAATTTTGCTCTAAAATGACAAAAATACAGACCGCGAGAAAGTAAAGCTTGTCGAGAAGCTTCGAAAGAAAGTGGATTTTGGTACTGGGATTTCGCAGGGAAAGAAATCTTGTGATTTAGTTTGTCACAATTTGTGTCTTGTGAAGCTCAAGGAGCTTAAAGTGATGATTTCTCTCCGTGAAGTTCGATGAAAGCTGTTTTGGTTTTCTTGAAATCAATAAAACTTCTATAATGGGAGAACTTTAACTATTTAGTCAGTGAATAGAGCTTGAAATCGAAAACCAGACTTTTTTGAACTCATAAAATTTTTAGGCCGGAAATTCATAATAGCAAACGCCAGGACTTCAAATTGTGCAATCATTTACGCAAACGATGGCTTTTGCAACCTCACTGGGTTCACTAGATCTGACATCATGCAGAAGTCCTGCTGGTGCGATTTCCTCTACGGCAGACGAACTTCACCTGTGGCCACCGCCGAGATGAAGACCTGCCTTGTCACTAAGCTGGAGGTCAACTGCGAGGTCATTCTCTATCGCCAAAATAGTAACTAAATTTGTTTATATCCTCTCAGTTTGATGCTTGAGGATAATTTAGATTTAATTTTGAAATAGATTCAACAATTCTGAGTGATCATCAATTATGGGCTTTACGGAAAATAATTCAGAGAAATTATTAGTATTATTTATTATCATAATTCACGGCGGTTAACATTTTTAACGGCGTTTAACAAATTCACGGCGTTGAATTATTGTTTGTTTCAGAAACGCATTTCCTGTGTCAAGTTCTGATTGTCCCAGTGAAAAATGAGAACGAAGAAGTGGTTATGCTTGTACTTGCCTTCGAAGAACTGGGACCCGATAACCCAGTGGAACCCCAACGCAAATGTAAGAGTTTCTTGTAAAGCTTTCGATTTGTAGAGTCGATTTGCATGGATTTTTTTGTGACAATTTAAATGAGCAACTTTTGCAGTTTCTAAACTTGCTTAGTTGGTTTTTAAAAGACCCTTTTAAAAGGTGTGCTGGTGTGGTGCTTGTTGCTAATAGTGTCTTATGTTTGGTTACTTTTCAGTCTCGGTGTTCCAAAACCGAACCTCTCGGCTCTTATCACTGCCGATGTCCAACATATCTCAAAGTAGGTGGTCACTATCACTGAGTTACATCTTCTCTTCTCTTCTTTGTCTAGCTAGCTTCCATGTCTCTTAGCTTCAGTTACTCTTTGTACTCTCTTCTTCAAATTGTCATTCTTGTCTTCAACGTTTCCCTCATTTTAACATGAACCAACTCGACAGAATTAAGGCTGCAATAGAAATTTAATAAAAGTAGTCCCTATGTATAGCGCTGATTACACAAGCAAAAATTGTGTGATAGTATGAACTCTTTTTTTTTACAACCGAAGTCGCAATTATTGTTGCGACAAAATGTATTCATTTTGATCAATAACCAGCTGCTAAATACAGTCAATGCTAAGGATATTAACACAGACTATTATATAACAAATGGAATTTTAGCTGTAAGGCATCATGGATCTGTAGCGTTGAGGTAGGAAAGGAGACCCGCAACAAATTCAGAAAATCATAGGGTTCGAACCTGGACAGGGGCGGATGTTTTAATGAACTTTTTAGTATGCTAGTTAAAATGAGTCCGCTCTATAATTTGAGGCATGTTATTGACAATTTTTTTTTTCAATTTGACTGGTACTTCTAAGGCGTCATAATTGGCTTGCGTCAATTAATAATTATGTAGACTCATAATTGGCGTGCGTCACTTGAAAAATTTTCTAGAGTCAAAGTTTTACGCGTTCAGTTTTTCTCAGTAGCATAATCGGTCATATTTTTGCTTGTGTATGCGAAGTGCAACTTCGCCTCTGTTTAAATTATCCGAACAAAATCAACAAAACTTTAAACGGGTTTTTCTCAAATTGGGTTGGGATTAGACAGAAATGATGAGAATTAAATTTGCTTAGAATTTCACCAGAAGTATTATATTCGAAAAATAACAAGCCAAAAAATTAACCCAAAAATTGATCATTTACTTTTTTCCAGTAAATCAAAGTTGCGCTGAAACTGCCAAGTAAATCGATGAAAAACTTATATCAAAAGAAACTTTGTACACATACCAGCAAAATCTCCAAAAGTTTGGGCCAAGTGTTTGAAGTTTGTTTTCAAGCAAAGGAATGTTCTTTTATATAGTAAAATTGGCATTTTTTTGGCTATCAAACAAAAAATAATCCTTTTTGGAGGTTATACTTTTCTAAAATTTTGTTAGGCAGTATAAGAGGCTGACTTTGATATATATTGCTCATTAATTGACCAATTAGGCTTAGCGTAATTTTTTATCGTCTAAAGGAAGACTAAATGATCTATTTTTGGGGTAAGTTTTTGGCCCCGAGATTCGTAAAATAAATTGCACCATATAAATTCTGGTAAACATTTAAGCATCTAGTTCTCATCGTTTTTGTTTAATCTGACCTCGCTTTGAGAAAAACGCGATTAAAGTTTCAAGCGTTACTGATTTTGCCTGGTTAGTTAAAATCATCACTTTAGAAGGCTTTTAATTTATAATGAGCTACTCAATTTGGTAAAATGCACTTAATCTTGATATTGTTCTTCTGTTCTAATTTTTCATGATCCTGCGTATTGTTTTTGCTTAATTTTTTGAAATGATAGTTTATCTGTTGTTCAATTGACATGTATATTAACGCAATTTTTTGGTATTATTCAACTTTGACGAGTTTGTTCATTTCAGTACAAAGCAAACTGCCGAACATGCGAACCACACGTAACAACAACTGGGCTAACAAGCGGTCCAATTCAGTCGTACATGCCCCTGCTATCGATCACAGGTACGTTGATTAGCCTGGTTTTTCTTGCATCGGTCTGGGAATTGGTGCATTCAAGATTTGTTTCTGTTTTCTGTAAATTTTTTCTGCTAGACATTCTGAAAGAACATTTACGACAGACAATTTTTCAATACAAGTTATCATAAATCGTTAAGATTCAAGAATTATAGCGAGAAAAAGTATTCATGAATTAGGGCATGTGTTTGGGTGAAAGGGGGCGTGTCTTACTTTTTTTACTTCACAATTATGGTCTGCGGTAAAAAAATCATTTTTTTTGTTGTAAAAATAAAATTGCTCCTTTGGTGGCTCTTTTGCTATAATCACGATCTGTAGCATTAGAAATATCGTAGCATCTATTCTCTGCTTTATTGGTGACTAGTCTTTGACGATCGTGAAGCGACCGCAGCACAGATGGAAGGACATGAGACTCCTAATCTACTGGTCGGATGTTCAGTGCCGCACTTAGCACTAGTTTAAGGAATATTTGGCGGCATTTTTGCTGCATAACATTCGCAGTTTATTAGAATCTGTTGCTGCTTTATTGGTAGCTTGTGTCAGCTTATTTTCATGGAACTTGGAGCAAGTCCGAGGACGTGAGACTCCTTATCCCGAGGTCGGAAGTTCGAATCCGGCGCAAAGTTTGAGTTTTTTTTCATTCATTGCTTATTTTCACTTCAATCAGCAAAACTGTAAATGGCGTGCTACAACGAATGGAATTTATTGTCAATGAATGAAGTGAAGATTTATTTTTACTTCGTGTGCTTTTAAATATAAAATTTGATTACGCTCAAATTTGATTTTTCGTGGGTTGAAATTCATTCATTTGCCAGATGGAAGGAAAATTACGCTGTTCAATAGCCGAAGTGAAAATTGCGTGATGAAACGTGAAAGAGTTTTTTCGACTGGATTTCATTTTTTAAATTTCCCAGCAGAATAAGGATTTTACCTATTGGTTTCGGTTTTTTCTTAATTGGCTTAATGGTATGGAAGAAAGCAGGAGAATATAAAACAGTTGTCAAAACTAACTTTTTAGGGTTCGAATCCCGTAATGGGGAATTTTTTTCGTTTGCAAGTTTTTTTGGTTTTTGTTGCGATTTGAAAACTCCGTTTGGCAATTTTTGCTCGTATAAATTTAGTCATCAGATGGGTTCTTCAAGAATGTACCCGCCATCCAACGTCATAACAGAAACTTCAATCTCAGTCACAAATGCTGACAGCGACGAGGATAAAAAAGCGAACAGCTCGGAGGAAGTTTCACATGTGGAGTCGGTGAAGCTCAGACCACTTCTAGATGGGAACAGAAGCGTCACCACTCCGAGTTTTGAAACTGGGAAGTGGTCGCCGGACGAACGAATGAACGTGGAGGACAGCAATCACAAAACAGGAAAGACTATTTCGAGCCAACATGGGAACGAAGACTCGTTGAACAGGAGCTCGCCGGTGTCGGGGGGACCCTCGAATAGTCGTTGTGTGAACTCGGATCAGGAGCCTGTGATAGATCAAATGAGGAGCCGTAGCAAGACGTTGCCTGTGCCTACGAGACACCCCGTGCGCAAGATGGAAACTGCGGGGGGAGATTGTTCATCAACAGACGCAATTGAATCGGCCATGGAGGACAACACTTCGCATCACTTGTCAGCTGGAAAAGGAAAGAAACGACGAAGGTCTTTTGTCAACCTAATACCCCAAACTCTACCTCGTAAGTCCAATTTGTGTTTCAAAAGTTTATTGATTGGCTCTGAAATTTTTAGTTTGGACCCTGTGAGTTGTTCCATTTGAACAAATTGAGATGTTGCTGAAATGATTTGTGTAAATTTTGATCATTTTTACCGCTTCTAAATTTAAATGAAAAGACTGATATTGTTGTCGCAAGATTCTGTATCCAAGAAGCGATTCCATTTTCTGTGATATTTCTTAAAGTAGGATTTGATTGACGACGTGGAATTGAATCAGTGTTGATAATTGTTGGTTAAGTAATACGTGGACATTTGGAATAGATTATTTGAATACCCCTGAGGGTACTAATTTGAACCAGCTGCAATTTTCTCAATATCTGGATTGCCATTGACAGCCAGCAGCTCCTTCTTTGTTTCTATTGAGTCCAAGCGCGGCTAGCAAAACAAGAAATCTTTCCTGAATAAATCATCGATCAATCTGTGCTAGGGTTATGCCCATGTTAAATCACCTCAAGATTGTGAACAAAATAAATCTCCCGAAGTGACTGAAAATAACGCTGGGAGTAATGAACAATATTTTTGTTCAGCTTGCTCAAATTTGGTCAAGTTAACACCCTCTGGCCCCATTCTATGCCAGTGTTAATTAGAATCTTATACTTCTGGATTCTAATACCTTCAGGGTTTATAACAGGCCAATTGACCCGTCCGGTTTTTATGGTTAGATTAATTTGTGTCACATCTGAAAAACAATAGCAGATATTGAAATTAAGTTGCCACTTTTATGGAATGTTCAAAATTTCCTTTTTTTATGACATATGTTTATTACGCTTCGTTTGAGAAGGAATAATTTTCAGAATTAATATAAAAGACATCCGAAATATTATTTATTTCTGCAAAAATTCAGCGTAAGTTTACTCAATTGGGAATTAGTTGATCTTTTGCAAAACTGTATTCGTTTTTTGTTTGACAGTATCTATAGTACTATAGTTGTCTGGCTGGCACAAGTAATCTCACAATATAAATTCGGACCACAATTTGGAATTTAATAATAACCGCTATCAAAGGCGGAAACTTGAAGATTTGTAATTTAAACCAGGTTGCAATGTATTATTACTGGCACGGTTTAATTGGGGCCAAATTACCGATTTTACGACGTTGAACGTATTCACGTCTTGGATTGTTCGCATTTACCGCAAAAATTTGATCCTTAATCGACAGTGAAATATAATAAAACAGCGATAAAAATAGCTGAGTCCTTATTAATAGAGTTACTTATGACTGAATTGATCATAGTGTTTTCTCAATCAGGAATGCGTCTCATAATATTACCACCTTTGCTCGGCCGTAAACAAACCAAAAACGGTAAGGGCTTCTTAATTCTCTTTAAAAGATAGGTAGGTTTTCTTTTTTTAATTGCTCCGACAAAAGCGTCTCATTACTTATTTTGCTGTTGTTTATTTGGAAAATTGCTCTAGGATAGTTACCTGTTTCGACCGATTTTTTTAAGAAGACGAGATCTAAATTTTAGCTGGCAAACTTGAAGTAGTCGAAAGCCCAAAATTATCCTAGATGTTTTTTTTGTTTTGTATTGTGCGTAAAAACCGCTGAATCTGAATGCGCGACGATCTGCCCCTTTAATTATTGATTCTTGTTTCAGTGCCCAAATCGGACTTTCTCACTCGTGCAGTATCGCAGCTGTCTATTGGCAAGCACAGCAAAGCACCCAGTCTAAGCGACGTCTCAGTGAGTACTAACTTTTCCTCAAAGCCCTCCGAGTTGATTTATAGTAGCAGATAGGAAAAGACAGCTCGCTTTGCTCCAATTTTCAGTTTTTTACCAGATAATTTCAAAATAGATCTTTTGTTAACCATAGCGGAAAGAATGGTTTCAATCACTTAGGTTTTTCCTGTAAATAACTTTCTTACAAATTTGTAAGAAATACGTGCAGAGTCACGTGCAGGCTGAAATTCTCATTTTCTTGAAAATGAAATGACACCATGTCATAGACTTATCTTGTGATATAACCAGCTTTATACTACAACTGCAAGTTTTTCTGTAATTTGTTAATTATTTAATTCAGATTTTTACCTTTGCGAGCAGCACGGGTATTGCAAGCACGGGTATTTTCCCGTAAATAACTGTTCACAGGACTCATCTGGACTCGTCTACCGTAGTGACGAGTCCAGATGAATTCCAATTATTAGCGTTCCGGGCAATCTTAGCCTCTTTAAGAGTAATGATTGTAATGAGTACTCTTATATAGGTCATGATGATTTTTTTTGGTTTTTTTTAAAGAAAAAGTCTTAAATTTTGTTCATGCTCAATTTTGATTTTTCGCGGTTTGCCATGTGATTTCTTTTGAAGTTAAGTGCATTTCTATTGTTAAAAGGAAGGCAAACTCCACTATCGAACAGCAAAATTGTAAAGGTCATGAAAAACATGATCGACTTCTAATTTCGAAAATGGAAATTAGTTATCAGATTTCCCAGCGAAATAAAAGTTTTGCCTATTGATCCAGTTTTTTCAAACTGGATTAATTTTAACCAAAAGTTATCATAAATTGCTCAGCAAATTCAAAGATCTTTAAGGTCATACATTTTTTTCTTCGAAGTTCAAAAGTTGAAGATTTTTGAAGAAACACGTTGGCTATGTTCGCAACGAGTACGCCTGGGTCGGCAACGGTTTTGAGCTCCAATTTGATCAGGACCTATGTTTTTCAAACGGGAAATATACTGTTTCAAATAAATTTTCGACCTATTAATTGTCTTCTTATGTTTTGTCTGCTTAGATGCGAAGCAAAAGGTATTAGTACGAACTTTTTTTTTTCCAACCTAAGTCGCATATAAAAGTGCTAATTTTGATGGCACTTTTGAATCAGTATGCTGCGGTAGCAGTATAATATCATATGTGCCTTGATATTTGATTAGTAAAAAGTTAACACAGCTAATGCATTTTAAATTCATCAAATGCACCGAAAAAAGTTATTTGTTTCAAACATCAGTATAATGATAAAAAGCTTGATTTTACAAATTTTTCATAAGTCAATGTATCTCGAATTCTTTTGAAATGCATAGTTTCTCCATACTTTGGCTTTATGCTTTCCAATTTATACCTCGCAAAATTGTGTCTTTTTGTATTTAGTGCTACTTCTGCTGCTTCGAATTGGCAATTTATTAGCATATGTAGCTGCGTTTTTGAGGACTTTAAGCATCCGTGGTTAGTGCGTGAGACTCAAATTTGCCAAGTCGCAGATTCGAATCCGATTCCTAGCCGAGTGTTTGCTTATTCGAGACTTATTTCTACTTGATTATGATTTTCTCCTAGAATTCCTGTTGTTTTGATTTTCTGGAATTTGATTTTTTTTTTATTTTGCCTAAAAACTTTGTTCGGCCCCACTTATTACGGCCTTTTTTATTGGCTTAATGACCTAATTTTGGCTCGTATTAAGCGAAACACAAAAATTACGCTCTCCTCATTTTTGGGTTGATTGCAATTTTACCAACTCGGTTTGTTAATTTTTGTTTTCGTTTTTTCCCGGCTTAATAGGTTTAGGCTTATTTTAAATCGGTTAGTAGCCTTTTGTTTTGTCGTTTGATTAGCGAAATTTTTTTTGTGTGCGAGTGTGTTTTCTGAGGGTAATGGGGATTTAAATTTTTAAAATTAGTTTTTAATTAAAAAAAGTTGGATTGAAGAGTTTCTCTGCTCAGGTATTTTTGGCTTCGTTACCGCTTGGTTAGTTTTTCCGATGCTGATTTTTCATTTTATTGTCTGGCCATGTTTTTTTCACAACTTTCTCCATTCATTCTGATAGAACTAGTCGTTTTGCAATAGGTACGAGGCGCAGCTTCGCCTTTGTTTGAATAAGTTTCTACCTTTTGTGTGTAAAAAGAGAACGAAGTGATTTTTTATTTATTACTCTAGCAAACGTCAGTGAGCGTTAGTGTTATACTACGACTTTTCATTTTTTCTAACCCAAGTCGCAAATATTGGTGACACTTCTGCGGCACATTTAAGGCTTTTTGATAGCATGCGATTTGATATTCGAATAGTAAAAAGTTAACACAGTTAATGCATTTTAAATTAATCAAATGAACCGAAAAAAGCAATTTGTTTCAAACAACATAAGAATACTAAAAACTCGATTTCAGAAATTTTACAACTAAATGTATCTCGAAATGTTTTGAAATACAAAATTTATACATAAGGTGGCTTTATGCTTTCCAGTTTATTACATGCAAATTTAGTGTGGATGCGTTCAGTTTGTTATTTTCGAAACTATTGCTTGCAAAATTGTGTATATTCAAGTTTGGTGCCACTTTAGCTGCATTGCGTTGGCAATTTGTTAGCATATATAGCTGCTTTATTTGTGACCAGTGTTTGCGAGTTGTTAAGCATTAATGGCCGAGAGGGCCGGGCGTAAGACTCGAATTCTCGAAGCCGGAGGTTCGAAGAACATATTTAGCAACGTCTTACTAATTCGAGGATTATTTTTATCTTTTTAATTCACCTTATAAAGCTACTTTTTCGTGTTTTCGCTAGTGTTTGCAATGCGCAGCTTCGCATCTGTATTTATCTCTTGATATATTTGTTTTCAGGAAGAGTCTCAAAATGCTCTAACAAATGCAGCAAGTCTAAAAAACTTCCATTTTCCAAAAAATATCAATTTTTTTGGCCTGTTTGCTTTTTTTTAAAAAAAATTGTCCTCGGCACAGAAAATCTAATCGAAACTGGGTTGTTATTGTAATTTGGGGTAGCTCAGAGAATTCTTTTGATCGAGCAAAAAAAGGTCGCCAAATTTTTCGGATTTTTTTTGAAAATTCGACCCCTCTGGTGTATTTTACATTCGTCCCTGAAAGCATCACACATTCATGAATACTCTTTGGTAGTATATACAATTTTTGAGTTCAATTCAAATTCAACAGCTTGAATTTAGGTAATTCTGCTTTCCAGTTGCGAAAGCGGAAATCTAGTTTCACAGCGAATTAGAAATCTATCTATTGATCCAGTTTTCTTATACTGGGTTAATTTTATCAAATGTGTCGATAATAAATTGTTCTTGAAATTCTAAGAGCTCTAACATGATACACTAGGCTACAAAAAATAAGAAGACACTTTCATTTAAAAATATATTTTCATAAACACTTTTTTTCAAAATTTTGTCGGGAAGCCCCGATTTTTGCAACAGACATTTACACGGTTTGGCAACAATTTTTACAAATTTTTAGTAAATGAATTTGGAATTGATTCCCAAAGAGAAAATACAGTTTCAACTAAATTTTGGGGATTCATCTTCATGGATCTAAGCTGCCGTTTCATATACGCCCAAACGTTGTCTATTGGAGTTAAGTCTGGACTATACGTAGGCTAGTCTTCCTTTATGACCCCATGGTCCGATTATTGACAAACCTGATTGACAATCACTGACAAATATTGATTGACAACCACTGATTGACAATCCCAGCCCGAAGAATAGAACAATTGTTGTCTTGGAGTATGTAACCACTCAATTTGTCAGTTCTCGCCCGCTCTAATAAATCAATAAACGAAGTAGCTGTACAAAACGTTGCGCTTTGGGAAAAACACGCCACCCATTGGCTGCTATACACCCCAGAACAGTAAAGAAAACCGACTGGAACTTCGTGCAGTTGTGTTTTCGGGAGCATATCGTTTCCTACGCTCTCGCCAGACATAAACTAAACAATTTTTTGCTAGAACTATTAAACAATACTCATTTTTTTCGAGGGATAGAGTGCTGTCATTTTTCAACCATCCTTCGATTGGTCGGCGATCTCTTTTGTTTAATTTCATCGGTTTCCCTGATTGCTCTGCGTTCTCACCATTTTTAAGTTTTTTTAAGCATTTTTACACCGAAGACTTTAGTCAAGGTGTTATGGTATCGTGTAACGGGTTTTTTTTTTTAATGTTGTCTGTTGTCAAGTGTCGACAAATAACGTCCACAGTTATCAATTATCATGTGGGCTGGACTATATCGCGCTATGTCACGTGATTGCGTATGTTTGTTTCTTTATTTGTTCATCTTTATTTATTTAATTATCTGTTCTTCTATTTATTTAATTATGTTTAGTTTGCTTATATTTATTTATAATTTATGTATGTACATATTTATTTTTGTTTATTTTTATCACGTGTTTTGTTTATTTATTTAACTATTCTTTCTTTCATTTAGTTTTAGCTAGTCACTGTATGATTTTCTGCCAGCAGCTCAACTGGTCTGTGTATACTTGTATTAGGTACACAGTTTTTTTTCAACTGCTGTGTATACTTGTATTAGGTACACAGTTTTTTTTTCAACTGCTGTGTATACTTGTATTAGGTACACTGTAGTTTCAATCAATTGATCTGTGTATACTTGTATTAGGTACACAGTTATTCTATTTCAACTTTTGTGTATACTTGTATTAGGTACACTGTAGTTTCAATCAACTGGTCTGTGTATACTTGTATTAGGTACAGTTTTTTTCAACTGCTGTGTATACTTGTATTAGGTACACTGTAGTTTCAATCAACTGATCTGTGTATACTTGTATTAGGCACACAGTTATTCTATTTCAACTTTTGTGTATACTTGTATTAGGTACACTGTAGTTTCAATCAACTGGTCTGTGTATACTTGTATTAGGTACACAGTTTTTTTTCAACTGCTGTGTATACTTGTATTAGGTACACTGTAGTTTCAATCAACTGATCTGTGTATACTTGTATTAGGTACACAGTTTTTCTATTTCAACTGCTGTGTATACTTGTATTAGGTACACTGTAGTTTCAATCAACTGGTCTGTGTATACTTGTATTAGGTACACAGTTTTTTTTCAACTGCTGTGTATACTTGTATTAGGTACACGGTTTTTCTATTTCAACTGCTGTGTATACTTGTATTAGGTACACTGTAGTTTCAATCAACTGATCGTGTATACTTGTATTAGGTACACAGTTTCTTTAGTTTAACTGATCTGCGTATACTTGTAATAGGTACACTGTAGTTTCAATCAACTGGTCTGTGTATACTTGTATTAGGTACACAGTTTTTTTTCAACTGCTGTGTATACTTGTATTAGGTACACAGTTTTTCTATTTCAACTGCTGTGTATACTTGTATTAGGTACACTGTAGTTTCAATCAACTGGTCTGTGTATACTTGTATTAGGTACACAGTTTTTTTTCAACTGCTGTGTATACTTGTATTAGGTACACAGTTTTTCTATTTCAACTGCTGTGTATACTTGTATTAGGTACACTGTAGTTTCAATCAACTGATCGTGTATACTTGTATTAGGTACACAGTTTCTTTAGTTTAACTGATCTGTGTATACTTGTAATAGGTACACTGTAGTTTCAATTAACTGGTCTGTGTATACTTGTATTAGGTGTAAAACAGGAGGCGTTTTGCTACACATACAAACACAATCTTTTGTATTTTATTATAGCTATAGAAATTGATCTACAATGCGTAAGTACGACATTTAGTTCTACGATTGTTATTTCAGGTCCTTTGTCAATATTTCAGGCTCTTTGTCAATATAGCAAAATTTTGGTGTATATATGTGTTAGTAAGATTTTTAGTTCTACAACGTTTATTCAGGCTCTTTGTCGATATAGCAAAATATTGGTGTATACATGTGTTAGTACGATTTTAGCTCTAGAATTGTTATTTCAGGCTCTTCGTCAATATAGCAATATTTTAGCGTATACATGTGTTAGTACCATTTTTAGTTCTCGAACTGTTATTTTATGATCTATGTCAATATATCAAAATTTTAGTGTATACATGTGTTATTACGATTTTTAGTTCTCGAACTGTTATTTCATGATCTTTGTCAATATATCAAAATTTTATTGTATACATGTGTTAGTACCATTTTTAGTTCTCGAACTGTTATTCCATGATCTTTGTCAATATAGCAAAATTTTCGTGTATACATGTGTTAGTACGATTTTTAGCTCTAGAACTGTTATTCCATGATCTTTGTCAATATAGCAAAAATTTGACGTATACATGTGTTAGTACGATTTTTAGCTCTCGAACTGTTATTTCATGATCTTTGCCAATATAGCAAAATTTTGGTGTATACATGTGTTCGTACGATTTTTAGCTCACGAACTGTTATTTCAGGCTCTTTGTCAATATAGTAAAATTTTGGTGTATACATGTGTTAGTACGATTTTTAGTTCTAGAAGTGTTATTTTATGATCTTCGTTGATATATCAAAAATTTAACCTATACATGTGTTAGTACGATTTTTAGTTCTAGAACTGTTATTTCAGGCTCTTTCTCGATATAGCAAAATTTTGGTGTATACATGTATTAGTACGATTTTTTGTTCTAGAACTGTTATTCTTCAATTATTAGTTGTTCAAGTTGTTTGGTTTTTGCTTCAGTTTCTATGCCTTCGGTGTATTGCGCGTAGCGCCTATGTTTGCAGCTGTCGAATGATGAGATAGTCCAACTTTTTCTACGATTTTCCGCCATGACCAGCCAAGCTCACATAAAACCACAACTCGTATATTCGGATTCAAAACCATAATGCTAAATTGTAGAATGAAATTGCATGCAAAACACGGCTTGAATAGAAATCGTTTAAAAATCACATCTTACGTGAAATCTTCTCAAAGTGTCTACCTATTTATTGTATCCCAGTGTATATGTTTATGTATTTCAATTTTACAGTTCCATCCTTCTGTTGGCTATGCTGTTTTCTGTCTTTTCGATTTCATCGTTTCAGCTTATATCGAATTGCTCAAATCAGAAACTTTGCGTAGTTTGGAAGGCAGAATAATTTTGTGTTTGTGGTGTTTTGAGGTATGGGTTTTAACTTTGAATTCCAAAACTTTTTAGCTCAGAACTATGTCAAAGGATTTTTTTGTCATCTTAATGGGGATCGAGTCAAAATTCGTCGGCTTGATTTCTGATTGGTACCGTTTCCCGTTTATATGCAAAACGTTTATGGACACTAAAATTTACGCTAAGACGTTTATGAACGTTACGCTATAAATTGAGTTGAGCGTGGTCTCAGTAGCTTAATAATAACTCACTACCAAAATAGTCCCTACGTAACAAAAAATTGCTACCAAAACAAACCACTACCAAAATAGTCTCTACGTTACAAAAAATTGCTACCAATTCTGAGTTCATCAATTATTTTATTTTTTTCAGTGCCTTAGTTTTAGAGGTCCTCAGTTCAAAATGCAATAAATTTAAATCTGTCAATATAGATGCCCGTGTTAAATTTAATTATTTCATGGGAATGAACTGTTAAGGAATTGTAGAAGTCACTGACTTTCGGTTTTTTGCCCTTTTTAACCTCTTTTATCCTTAGTTTTAATTTGGTTTAAAAATAGACTATGTCCTGCAGACAATGTGTGGTTTTCACTTAAAAATTTATTTTGGCTCAGCCGATTAGGAGGAGTTTAGTTACAAACGATTACACACATGCACGAAGCTATTTATAATAGTTATATATAATATATCACTGTGAGTTGTTGGTCGATAATTGCAGCAAGGTTGCGTAGCAAAAACTAGGCAGTCATAAAGTAGTCAAAATCGTGAGCCAATCAGAATGGAGTAAATAAAAGAAACGCAGGAAGTATTTTCTTTTCTCGCTTCTGATTATCTCACGATGATTTTGTCTACTTTATGACTATCTGCTGTTTGAACGCACTGCTTGTAACAAGAAGGGATGTTGAGTTCCCCAGTCCAGAGACATAACCGAGCAAAGTGCAAGTATGTTTTTATCAGTACTCTTGAGGTTTTCCTTAAACAGCTGCACTGCTTGTGAGTCGGTCTTTTTCCCCTCTCGAATATGTTCTTTTGCTTTTTTATGGGCCAACGAAAGGAAATGCACTAAGATGTTAAAAACTTGTTTAATGCGCTCGTCTTGCTAGGCTTAGGCGTTCTCTTTTCTCTGACAGGTGCGAGCACCCTTCTAAGCAGTCTCTGGATTAATGCTAATTTAGCACACCTTTCATTGTTTTTCAGAATATTACAGTCAGATCATTACGACGAGGATCATCTGCGAAACTTCCGCTACTCGGTCAAAAACAAATTTGCGCAGGTAAGTTAAATTCACAACTGTGTAAATATCAGTGTCATAAAATAATTTTTGCATTAACTGGAAAATGCTGTTGTTGCGAATCTTGAACAATAGTATATAGCTTAGCTTTGTTGTGTTTGGCGAACTGAACTTACTAATCCAAAGCCGGCCGAATGAAATTCAAATCTCGTACTATGTGACAAACTGAAAATAACTTGTTGTTGTCTGCAGCTTTTTTGAGTATTAATGACTTTTCTCGTGGCATGCTAAAGCATAACGCGCAGTTGGAAGGAGCAGAAACTATGACGAGGCAGAGTCCACTTTCGAACCAGTACCTCTCCGTCGATTCGAGTTCCGATGGGAGATCCAACGAGACGTTTAGGTCCAGATCGCCTCCGCCTGCATATCAGGACGCGTTCTCAGATCTAACCGGAGATCCAATTGGCAGAATAGCAATTGGAACGAAAAAGAAGCCGAGGCAGTTAGTTAGACAAAAAGGCGTCCAAGATTCTTTTGAAAGTGGGAAGTCGCCCACCGCTGGCAAAGGAGTCCGCTTTTTCATTGGCCGCAATGACTATCTGGACAATTCAATTAGTAGTAGCGACCTACAAAATCTTTCTAGGGAAGCAAATTCTCCTCGTGATAATGAGAACCCCTGCTCTAAACTGATTTCAATTTCGTCTTCTTGTTCCACTTTCGCGGGAATGTCGCAACTCATAGTCGGGAGAATTCTCAATTCGGATGCACTCGTTGGCCATGACGTAATCGGTGATGTAATGAATGAGGCAATGGATGTGTCGGGTGAAGATGGGATGAATGGTGATTTGCACAACTGCAGAAAACGTAGTTGTTCCAGCGGGGCAAGTGGTGTCTGTGACCCTGCTGCTAATTGGTCACACCCACAACACCACCTGTCTATGTCTAAGCGTGGATCTAAGCGCAAGGCTAAAAATAAAACGGTACTAAGAATACTCGATTGCCTGAACTGGTTTTTAAAACGAACTGAATGAAATTGCAACATTATTATGAAGTGCTCCCCAATTTTTTGAATGTTTGTCTGCCTTTTACCACATCTGATTGGTTTTACCCTAGACTTGCGAACCGAAAGTGTTGCTTTTGAAATGAGCTTTCAAACTGAAGGAAATTGGCATAAATCGTTCACTTTGGTCTTACTTCTACTTCTACTTATTTTTAAAGCACGTCCGATTGGCTTTTGTTTTTTCATATCAACATTGATTTGTAGCTTTTGTTAGCATGCAAATCGGAACTGAACTGAGCATATTGAGAGAACATCTTGTGCGCCTGTCATTGCGTGTTTATCAATTTTAATTCGCTCTTTTTAATTGCAGCCCATAATTCAATCATTTTTTGAATGATGATAGCGCGTGTTATTTTCATCAATTTGTGTTTGTCCTTCGACTTGAATGAAAGAAATAATGATAATTGATTTGTTTCTCCCGAAGAGTCATATGAAAATGGCAGTCAACGAGAGACTGCTACGGCTCGGTTAAGCGTGATACTCTTCCGCTATTTGTAATAGGTGTTGGTTGCAAGATTACCAGCTAATATGCTGTATCGAGGTGCTCAGTATCAATTTCAAATTTCATGCTTGGTGTCAAATGCTCTTGAACATATGAAGTAAATTTATAGTGAAATATAGTGGTTCGAGGCACTTCATCATTGGTGCTTCTGCGTTATGTGAAGGTGAGGCTTCTGCATGTCTGGCATAAAAACTTACCGGAGAAACTGCATATAGGTTTTAATCCAGGTCAACTGAAATTTTTGGAAGGTTCTTTTTTGGCGGATAATGAAAAAACGAAGCGCTTAATGTGTGTAGGTGCTGTCTCTTGGACTGGACGTGTTGCCAGAGTACAAAGTGCAGCCTCCGAGAATCCACCCCTGGACTGTGCTGCATTACTCGCCCTTCAAGGCAGCCTGGGACTGGTTGATCCTCATCCTGGTCATATACACAGCAATATCCACTCCCTACGTGGCCGCATTCGTCCTGCCCAACAAACAAGGACGGCTGGACACTTCTATTCATAGGTATCTCCTTCTGTGAATCATGAGGACTAATTCAATTATAAGATAGAAATAAGATGAAGTTTTATCAACAGGTTATCAGCGAACTTCAATGGCTAAAGAAAAAGTTACTATGAAACCAGTGTCGGAAAAACATATTGAAAAAAATAATAATTTCAATCAATCGAAAATTCCCTTCCCCCTATCCTTGCTTTGACCTATTGCGTTATCAATCCCTCGCTTTGCCAAAACAAAAGCAAAGTATATCAAACTAAGTACAAATGCAAATGGTCAACAAAGAACTTTATATATCAGTTACTTTATAGAGGATAGAAGGATTTTGTATGCATGATGATGTTCTTGTTCTTAAATGCTTATGAGCCAAATCAATTTCGAGACATCATAATGCAAGTATTCGTTTGCGCATCTAACCAGGCTTTAAATACGGATATTTTTCGGTTCAAGTAAGGTCCCACGTTCTGCGCGCTTCGGATGGGGTTCCATAAATTTCTCCGAATTATTCGCCCTTTTATGGGTGTTACTAATGTCTTCAATTCCTCGCTAAGCGCATCTCGTCGGTATGTATTATTGATCAAGGCCGGGTTACGCTCTGTTTTATCGGAAATACTATGGCAGCTTGTTTCCGGAAACATTTTCCATGTAACCAATGCACAATTCTAGTTGGTACTTACAAATCCCAAAACCCATGTACTTTGTGCAGAACTCAACCTCTTTGATATTTTGACTTCTAACTGAATTGAGATTCGTTGATCTCTGCGGCAGTTCTTGGTCCCCTGGTTTTATTTTGTCCTTTTTCGCGAAAGACAGAAAGAGTTTAAAAGCTGATTTTATTTGGCGGTTTGATGTCTGAAGTTGGTTTTGAAAATAGGAGTTAAATGTGCAACTGGGTCCGCTCACAAATTTCGAGAAAAGCAGCAAAATCTCAAGTTTATGGCTGTTCCGAAACTGCAACTCTAAAAGAAGCACAAACAATATCATTCCGTTTTGGGATCCTTAAATTCGAATTGACTTGGTTAACCTGAGCTCGAGAATCAAAAATTCTTAATTTACATTTAGCAAGAACAAATTGGCTGCACATGTCATTGAGTCGGAGGAATATTAAATTTTGAAGTTTTTATCCTCAAGTAAACTGCTTCTTGGCACTAAGACAAGTAAACAATGAAATAAGTAAAAACTTCCCGATTCACAGGAACTTATTTTTTTCCGGTGATATACTCTTAATCGTTGTTTTTTTTGGTTGTTCATGGTACCGCCTCGCGGAATGGTCTAAAGGAGAAGTTTTTTGTTCCGATCATAGAAAATGGGAAAGAACTTTCTATTCGGGTGTGTTTTAGTCGGAGTGAGTTGAGTGATATATCATATTAAGCCATTTCAGTCGTATTTGCACCACCTTTCCCAGTGTCGAGAAAAACCGGTTTGAAACTTTGAATGTTAGGTCTAATTTCGAGCGAGTAAAGCGAGCGAGCAGGCTTACAATAGCTGATTTTATTAGCTGAAAAGCTTACAATAGCTTAATTTGAGCTGTAAAAACGTAGTTTTAATCAGGTAAAATTAAGTTTTTCTGAGTTTTTTGCGCTATTTTGGAATCAAAAAAAAAATGGAAGTTTTTGATTTTTTTTTGTTTTTCTAGTCATTGCCCTACAAAATTTGTATGGCATTTTTTTTGCATTTCAAGGCTCCTGTTTGGCCTGTGTTTACAAAGTTCAACTTCGATATCTGTATTCATTATTGTTTCGGTTTTGTATTGATTTTTAAACAGTAATGAACGTAGTGATAGGTCTTGCTGATTTTTTTTTCAGGAAAAACTCTTGAAGTTTGTTCACGCTCAGTTTTGATTTTTCGCGGTTTGACTTAGGATTTTTTTAAGTTCAGTGCATTTCTATTGTTAAAAGGATGGTAAATTCCACTATCGAACAGCAAAAGTAATTGTGAAGGTCATAAAAATGTGATCGACTTCTAATTTTGAAAACGGAAATTAATCATCATATTTCCCAGCGAAATAAAAGTTATTATTTTTGATCAAGTTTTCTCAAATTGGTTAATTTAACCAAAAAAGTGTTCATCTTAAATTGTTCTGCAAATTCAAAGAGCTTTAAAGCCATCTAAATTTTTATTCGAAATTCAAAAGTTGAAGATTTTTGAACAAACAAGTTGGTTTTTTTGTCAGTTTCCTTACGTTAATTACTCTTTTCCAACTGTCAGTTGGCTATGTTTTAATTGTTCAGATTTTTGCAATACGATTTTACTTTTTTTAAAGAAGGCAAGAAATGGTTAATCGTCTGCCTTTTAATGTTATGATCAACAGTGCTGATTTAATTAATTCGGAAAAAATGACGAAATTATAGTAGTGAGTAGAATTTTAACAGAAATAATATACTTAAATTTATTTTGCGAATTTCGGAACCAAAATTTTACTCAAAAAATGGGTCGTTTTGGCTTTTTTAAGTTGATCAAGCATTGCGCTTAAGTTAATTGATGAGAAAGTTATAAGAAAAGGAGCCTCTCACACAGCTCAACAAAATTCCAGCTGGTTGAAATATCCAAAAACCTGTATAAAAGAAAATGTTTTTGTTTGATAGCCAATAAATGTGATTTCTACTATATAAAACCCAAAATCTTTGCTTAAAAACGTTTTAAACGTTTTGCGCAATTTTGTACAGATTTAACCCTGCTGGAACTTTGTTGGGCTGTGTGAGAGGCTCATTTTGTTACAACTTTCTCATCAATTAATTTGGCAGTTTTTGCCTAATTGTTGATTAATTTATAAAAGCCACAATCACCTATTTCTGTGGTAAAGTTTTGGTTCCGAAATTCGCAACACAAAATGCACCATATTAATTCTGGTAAAATTCTAGGCAAATTCTGTTCTGTTCACGTAATGTCTAATCTGCACCCAATATGAGAAAAATGCGTTTAAAGTTCCCATTGTTGCTCGTTTTGTCCGGATAATTTAAACCAGGACTGTATGATCAACCGAAGATCTGACGACGTTCCAAGTAAAACGTTAAAATTACTCTAATTGGGTTTTTTCATCAAAATTGAAATTACTATGAAACATGAACCAGCTTTGAGGTGACGTATTTTTTTTAGTAAGTTCGAAAGTTGAAACAAGAATTATAATTCTTCGATTTTTGAATTCGTCGATCTCATAAATAACGATAGCTCGGTAATTGACGCATAAAAGTTATTTTTGAAACAAGCGTGATTGCAGCGCTGTGTTGTAAAAAGTGTCCAATTGTTTTTTAGGTACAGTGTTTTCATCTGTTTAGGTACAGTGACCCCATCACGCTGATAGACATGCTAGTGGACATTCTGTTCATTATCGACATCATCATCAACTTCCGCACCACGTACGTCAACAGCCAAGAGGAAGTCATCTCCGCTCCCAGCAAGATAGCGGCCCACTACTTCAAAGGCTGGTTCCTTATAGACCTAGTGGCGGCTGTCCCTTTCGACCTCCTCCTCTTCGGATCAGAGGAAGACGAGGTACGTAGTTTTTTATACTGATTCTTATTATTTCGAAAGAAGGGTCAAAAGGGACATCGCGTTTTTGCGGGGTGATGCCCCCCTCAAGTTTAGTGTAAACTGCGCCGAATTACTTTTTGAGCATTTTGCAGACTAATCGGCCAGAAATGAATGTCGTAAAAGAATACCAGAGAGGATCTTTTGGGTGGCCAGGGGGACGAATAAGTGAGGGGGTTGGCTTTTACCTAAATCCGCCCGTGTATACTTTAAAAACTTATTGACTCAAATGTTGGGGCTGTTTTTGAAAAAAAAACTAAATATTTAAGTCGGCATGCTTACAATTAGAGACTATTTGTTTGCGTTTATCTCAATAGTGATTTAATTTGGCGAGAGTTTTTTGATTGGCACTTGAAAATAATCGATATACCACATCAATCGAAATTAGATTCTGAAAGTTCTTCATAATTCTCAGCGTAATCTGGTCAATCTAAGTTCTTAACTGGATAGCTAGCCGCGTATCAATTGTGTGTAATGTAGCAGTGACTGTGTGGCTCTCGTCTGTTCGTCGATTAAACACAGATTTTTCGAGCAAGAATGTGAACAAAATTTGTTTTTAAAACTTTTCAAGTACTTCATCTTGTTGATTTGAAAACATGATTGCAATAACTTGGTTTAAATGGTCCCAGTTTCAAGGCTATTGGTTGAATTTTACCCTGTGATGCTTTAATTCACTTGAGAGAGAGCACGTGTACTTGTAATCGCGAAGTAGACTTTTTTCCCGTTATCAACTTTTCTTACATTTTTTAGAAGTACGTGCATTGCAGTTTACAGTGCAGGCTGCCATGCTCCATTTCTTGAAAATTCAAATGAATTCGAAATCTAAAAAACATTGAAAAGATGTTGCAAACTTTTAAAAGTCGAATGAACGTAGTTAAGACTCTTATAAAGGTCGTGATGTTTTTTTGTTTTTCAAGAAAATTTGTTATTTCGCGGTTTGAGTTTCGATTTGTTTTTGGGTAAATTCACTATCATACATCAGAGTAAAAATCACAAAAACGTGATCAAATTTAGGTTTCGAAAGCTGGTTTTGATAAACAGATTTCCCAGCGGAAAAAAACTTGACCGATCAAAACTTTTCATTTAAAAAGTGTCAATCATAAACAGTTATTGAATTTGAAAGGGCCTTAAAGCCATATATTTTTAAAAGAGTAATGAACGCAATGAGTAATCTTATATAGGTCTTGGTGATTTTTTTTTTGTTTTTATCAGGAAAATTCTGTAAATTTCTCAGGAAAGTCTTGCTCAATTTTGATTTTTCGCGGTTTGACTTGTGATTTTTTTAAAGTTTGTATATTTTTAATTGTGTTTCCATTCTTAAAAGGAAGGCAAACTCGACTATCGAACAGCCAGAAAATAATGGTCACGGAAAATGGAATTTTGACTTTCGGTTTGTTCCCAAGTTCAGTACTTTATATTGTTAAAAGAAAGGTGAACTCCATTACCGAGCAGCAAAAGAGTAAAGGTCACGAAAAACGAAAGTACTAGTTTCTAGTTTCGAAAGTGGAATTAAATTATCGAATTTCCAGCGAAATAAAAGTTTTACCTATTGATTCAGTTTTCTCACATTGGTTTAATTTTAGAAAAAAGTCTCAATCATAAACTTGTCCTGAAATTCAAAGAGCTTTGAGGCCAGATTCTTTCCTTTGCAACTCGAAAGTGTTTCAAGTTATTGTTTTGTTTTCGGTTTCTTTGCGTTTATTGTTCCGAATTTCGATACGAAAGTAACGGAATATTTGTGCTCGGGGTGGGTTTTTTTTTCTTCAGACAAATTTCGACTTTTTAACTAGCCATTTTTGACGGAATTTTTTATATCATTCAAAAGGTATTGTTGTCCTGAGCTTAAATTTGAAAAGATATTTCACCTGTGATCATTTTTCGTAAAGTTACGGGGGTTTAAAGATTGCCATTTTGGCCAATTTGGGACAATTAACGCGCGATATATTTCGCGCTATTAACGCGTAAGCGGAGAGTTAATCCGTCTTAGAGATCGTTCCAAATTGGTTAAAAGAAGCTTATTTGCCATAATTGGTTTGTTATTAGGAGCGAAATCTATCCTTTTGTACTTTATATGGCGTATGGGGGGATGATTTTTATAGAAAAATTTCAAATTTTAGAATTTTTTTTTATTTTGTTTTATTTTATTGAATTTGTAAATGTATTACTGCTCCATAAACCTTAAAATGCAGTCGGAACATTCAGGGCTTCGCCCTGATACGAGCAGTCTTGTTGAATCTTTTGCTACTGTCTGTTGGCTATGTTTAGTTTTTTGCAGCCTAATAAAAAGAGCTCTCATCATTACAGTTTTTTTTTTCAGATTTTTTCAATTTTTGGCAAAAAATGCCATTCATTAAAGATTCTTTAGATTCTAAGAGCTTCGGCATTTTTTCCCGAAGTTCGAAAGTTCTAAATTGCTTAAAGTTGATTCAATCATTTTTATGGCTTCTTTGAAAACATTGACATTTTCCATTTGTCTGCTGGTTATATTTATTGGTTGAGTTGAAAAGAGTAATCGATTGTTCATAATATTACAAATCAGCTTTAATGAGAATTTTGACTTGTTGAACAGGAAAGTAAAGTGGTTGTTTCGATTTTTGTTCGGAACCTATTTAATCAATTTTTTGTTGAGTTGTGAAGATGATAAAAGTTGTAGATGCCATGGTAGTAATCCTCATCCATCTACCCAGACGAACGGACGGATTTTGAAGATGCCCGCCTCTGATTTTGTATATCTTATTTCATTTGCACATCAACAATGATTTTGATTGCTATCTTAATTGAGTCGCATTTTCTAAGCATTGTCGCTTTTATGCTGCTGCCAAGATAGAAGTATTGCATTGATAGGATGCTTTATGTTTTGCCAATCAGTTGTTCTGCATTGGAGCTAGAACGAGGATCATGAATGATTAAAGATAGAATGATTAATTCTTTGATAGGGTAAAGCTGTGCAGATGTTTGCTGGATACGAGATAGATGCAAGTACACAACATATACGACAGCTACTCTACAGATCTAAATCTATACCTTCTCCCTGTCCCTCTTTAAAAGCACTTGCGATCTGCAACAGTATTACAACCGGCTGCTAGACTTTTTCCCCTACAAAGAGTTCACACGTGGAAATGTTACACGTCTTTTGTTTACCTTGCTTTACAATCCGGCTTCAATTTAAACTCATTTGTCTAAAGAAAAGCAAATTATGCTCTCCGAATGAAAAAGCGAAAATGGCGTGAAAACGTGGGAGTGGATTTTAATTTTAAGATTTTTTTTGAATTTACTTGAGCTCATTTTTGGATTTAAGCTCATTAACACTTTTCCAACGGTTTCTTAGCTATATATGAAGATTCAGCTTTCTTTCAGCATTCCGAGTTTAGTTTCTAAGATCCCAATGGTGACAGTAATTGAGTTACAAGATTTTTCCGAAAATTAATTTTGTAGTTTTTATCTCGAAAACTGAACAAAATTTATCGTGTGGATGCATTTGCCTGTAGTGATAATTTTTTTACAGTGCGCAGATGGTGTAGAGGCAGATATTTTTTGGAAATATAGAGATAATTCGAGACCCTGTCTTACTTTTTTTAAAAATATCCTACGTTCAGTATATCCTTCGAGTTTTTTCGAATTGGTATGGTATTTTTCGTCTCCCGAGTTATAAAGTTTTGTTTCCTAGATGTGCTTTTTCGTCCATTGCTCAAATCAAGCCGGTTTAAATTTTTGTCGATGTGTTAGACAATTCTATGCATAAAGACCGAGTTGAAAATTGTTGAAGTCGAATCTTTTTCAGGTTTTTGTGTTTTTTGGATCTGTTTTTCTTCAAATGCTTAATATAACTCGATTCCAAAGCCGTTTCGGAAACTTTTGCTTCTTTCAATAGATACTTTTCGATGTTATTTTTAATGATACTTTTTTGATGTATCGATATTTCCCTCAAAAATCTTAGGAATTTTGAATTGCGACGATCATTGAAAAGAACTGAAAGAGTCTTCAACTTGATATAGTTGATTGTGTTGAACAATTTTTTTTGGAAAATCTTCAACATCTGTTATTTTCTGATTTTAAGTTCTTTGTATTGCTTACCATTATTTCGAGCATAGACTTCAATTGTACATTTTGAGAACTATTTGAGTAGCGCATGTATTAAACTTGCGAACTATAATGCATGAAATAGTCATTTCATTTTCAGTCAATTGTACATGCTTCCGAGATAATAGTTGTAAAAACATTATTCTGCCAAATTAAGTGTCATACAAAAATTCAACATGTACACTTTCGCCTGAAAAGTTAGCTTTGAAATAAATTGTAAATACTGTTGTAGTATAACAAAGCGATGTAGCTATGTAAATTGAACATGTAATATATCACCCTTCAATCTACTTACCATCTTCTCTGGAAGAATGATTTTTGCAATGCTAAGCTCAGTTTTTCAGTATCACCAGAAAGTTTGATTTTATCATATATTATGTTTAAAAGTTTTTTTTTGGTGTCTCTCAAAACATTCCTTTTTCAAATTCTTTACAGATTTGAAATGGAGTCAATGACAATAAATTGTTGCTCATTTGAATTTTAGTTTTCGCATCAGCTTTTCTAATAAACTAAGTTTGTTCCAATGATTTTGACTATTATAGTCATTCATTTTTGTATCGCAAGTGGCGGGAAGCTCAGCTTCGCCTTTGTGTCATCAAAATGTCCATCAATCATGTATTGCCTCCTCTATTTCAAGGTCACTTCACAACTCTCATTCTTTATCTCATGCGGTGAAGAGAACTGAAGCATCATTCAATGTAATCCGCTCGTCATAATGTCAGTTTTGTACAAAACTTGGCAAAAGGGATTAAAATCTTGTTCGTGAGATGGTCAAGACCTGTTTTTTTTAAATATAAAGTTTATAGCAGGTTATTCAGCAGGTTATTGATCGATAATAGTGAGTTCTACATTGGAACCTACAACGGTTACCTCAATGTATTTTCATTTTAAGAGGCTTCAAATATTAGCATCAATGAAAAGTCAATCTATTTCAATGACACCACAGAGGTTGGCTGGAGTAAATAGTTGAACAAGTTTGATCCTGGCGTTTAGCTTTTTAGACATATAAGTGGATTCATAACCAATTTAGTGCTTCATAATCTATGAACTAAATGTGTGTTGTTGTGTTGGTTTCAGACGACGACGTTGATAGCGTTGCTGAAGACAGCCAGGCTGCTGCGTCTGGTGCGAGTGGCTCGCAAGCTAGACAGGTACTAATAGAGAGAGATGCAAACGACACAATTCAATTCGGACAGACAGAATTAATTAGAAATTGCAATCTTTCCATTCCACTTTTCCATCCAATTTCGAGGCTTCAAACAACCTTGAGACATGAATTGTTTCTGAAATGCTAGCAAAGTTTTTCAAAAATAAGTCAAATACTTTTCTTTGATTTATTTTGTTTGTCCGAGTTGTTTTTCTACTAATTATGTTTTACTAGTCATTGATGCGGTGATTTAATGGTTCCCGCCTTTTTAACTCTAAACAACTTAACACCATACAAATTCATTCCCTACTTTTTGTTGCCTTAGCAATTTAACATCGCTACAATTTAAAACAATTTCTATGACTTAACACCGTTTTAATCCAAAATCAAAAGAAAACTTACTTCAAAGGGGATTTCGGTAACCATCAAAGAATTAAACGAGAGAAATTTATGCCATTTAAAGCCAGACAAATTCGCGTTACGCAATTCGCGTAAGTTTTGAACAAAAATGACCTTGCAAATGATTTCAATAAAACGTTTCAAACCAAAATGAAATGGCCTTGCCAATATTTTCAATGAATAATTCCAAAATGAACCAAAAACAAGTAATAGCGCAATGAACTTCAATTTGAACGCTCAGTTTTGTCTTCGTAAACGGACATTATGTTTTGTACTCTTTCATTTAATACTCGATACTTTTTCTTTTTTGTGAACTTATGGCCACTTGATGCATCAAAAAAGTGAGTTTTTGTACGGAAGCGTCTTTTTGCAGGCTGCCCACTACTTTCCACATATTTGGGTGGGAAAGATGAAATAAGATGTTGTGTTTGCATTTGTTTATCACTTGAGTAAAGTATAAAGTGTCTGTCAGATTTTAATTTTTGTCAGAAATTTTACGGCAAATTATTATGAATGAGCACACGCAGCTTTTTCAGTAATCATAATGGTTTAGCAAAAAGTTTAATTGAAAATAAATTACAAACTTGTTGATAAGAGTCTTAAGTAAATTAGGAAGCCTCCTTTTAGCATGTATAACTAAGTTAAACCAAGTTTTTCATTATGGTGCGTGCGTTAATTGCAGGATTAACTTTGGCGCGATAAGAGTTAAGATAAGGAATTCATACAGCTTTAATTTTAATACTGAAATGACTAGGTGTTAAAATGTACTGTGTTGAACTGGAAAATAGGAGTTATATTGTTGTCGATTTAAATTGTTTAGTAATGAAATGACTATGTGTTAAAAAGTACGGTGTTAAATTGTATGTCATTAAATTGTAGGACACCGATTTAATCTATCCGAACTTGAAAATTAGAACGGGTATTTCTCAAATAGGGTTAAATTTAGACAAAAATGATGAAGACAAAACTTACTTACAATTTAAGGAGAACTAGTATGCTGCAATTTGGACTGGATTGTGCTAAAACTCTAAGCAAATTTTGTCTTCATCATTTTTGTCTAAAGTCAACCAATTAGAGATTAACCCGTTCTGAAGTTCAAGATATACTCGTTTTGTCCGGATATTTTATATTGGCACTGTATACGACAGTTGCATGGCTGTGCTGCTTTTAGCATCAAAAACTTAAATAACAATATTTTCTTAAAAAAACTTGGCTAAAAAGCAGTATAATGGATGAACTATGGGCATCTTTTGTGTTTTGGATTAGCTGGGAAAACTAATCTAAAAACGCAAGAAGTTAAAAAGGTTAATTTTGGTGACTTGAGTATGTTTGAGACAACATCAATATGAGAATGTTTGGTGTAAGCCAAAAATAAAAATCGCCGAAATATTTCTTGTGAAGTGTATATTATGTGTATTGGTGAATTGCATTACAGGTACAGTGAGTATGGGCCGGCAGTGCTGATCCTTCTCATGTGTTCCTTCTCCCTTATAGCCCACTGGCTCGCATGCATCTGGTACGCCATAGCCAACATGGAGAGACCCACGCTAGAGGTCAGTGAACTCAACATGTTCTACAAACACAATACGATCTACTTTTTCCTCAGTCAGAATTGTGCATCACTGTTCTAATAAGTGTCTTATCTTTTGTTTTATATTTCTTTTTCCTTTTACACATCTAGCGCATGATTGTAAAACAATCTGAAAGTGTATGTTTCTACCTATGGCATCAAATTTTTAAGTGTCAATGAACGTAGTGAAGTCACTTATATAGGTCGTTTTGATTTTATTGTTTTTTTTCAGAAAAAGTTCTAAACATTTGTTCGCGCTCAAATGTGATTTTTGTGCTGTTTGACTTTTGGTTTCTTTTCTAGTTCGATTCAAATTTATCTGCTAAATTGAAGGCCTTCTAATATTAGACTTTCGAGCGGTTTCGGTCTAATTTTCTCTAATTGGGTTTGTTTTGTGATAAAAGTTTCAATCATAAAATATTCTTGAAAATCGAAAAAGTTATTTAACCTGATATATTTCGTCGAAACTTGAAAATAGTTTATACATAAGTCAATCATTGTTGCTCAGTGTCCTTGAGTTCATTGACACTTTTCCCATTGTCTATTGGCTATATTGTGCAAGTTTTTCAATAGGCTGCACAACAAGTGTATGGCTTCTAGGGTTGTGCGGACTTACTTACTGGTAAGTAAGTTACTAGTAAACATACTAGTAACTTACTAGTAAGTAAAATAAGGCTTATTACTAGTAAGTTGAACCAAAATGAAATTTTTGAAAGTAAGGAGGCTCAATTATCAGTCGAAAGAACAGATAAACTTGTTTTTATATACTGCAACGCTGCTTTACTTGATAATACTGATTATAATGATTATTAAGCGGATTTTGAGTTTGTGTAAAATTAATGGTCATCAAACTTGGTAGACTCTGAGTTTTTGAAACTTACTAGTAAGTAAAAGTAACTTACTAGTAAAAAAGTGGTAACTTACTAGTAAACGAATTTGACTTACTAGTAACTGCACAACCCTAATGGCTTCCTTTATTTGTATTTTGCATGCACTAGGTAATCCAGAAAAATTCAACAAACGAGGTAATACAATAGAATTTTGACAGATTTTTAGTTCCTAATGAGCTTCGCGAAGATACTGATATTGGCCGTGTAGATTTTTGATCATTCAAATTTCTAACTTTTTATTCTCTCTTTTTTGTCCTTTTGACCTTGAAGCGCGCTTTTTAATTTTTTTTTGTGAGCAAAGGTCCATTACGAGGCCAAACTGTAAATTTTAATTGCGCACAGACTTTTGCGTGTTTGTCTGGGGAATCTGGTTCGTGCGTATTGTGAAATTACAAACAAATACCTTGTACCGTGAGTTTTGTCGGCACAATATTGTGGCGGAGTCCACTCCGAGCGAAGAGACCAAAAACACGAAGTCTCCTAGCGTTTGGAACTGCACTCTGTATTAACCATTGGTTCCTGGATTGTAAAAAAAGCAAAAGGTCAAAGAAAAACAGTCTTGTTGCTGAATCTGCAACAAAGAAGATCCGCAAAAAAGTCTTCCCTTTAAGGTGGAAGGGTTCAGTCATCTTTTATAAAATATAAAAATTGAGGAAATTCAGAAAAAAGGAAGAGTATTTGAATTTGTTGAGATATTTTAAGTACAGCGATGCAACTAGCGTCAAGCAACGTAATAATGACTCCAAATAGTTTGCCTCGAATCAAATCGTAGCGATCTTTGCTCACGTTAACTGATCGAATTATATCCCATGTTAAATGTCCCAAATTAGCCACATTGGACATTTTCAAACGGTCAAAACTTGAAGTAATCACAGATTAAATATCTGTTTAATTTTGAGCTCATTGCGTCAATTTTTTTTAAGATGATATAAAAACAGCAATTCGAAAGTGTCAATTATGTTTTAGCCTGTTTTCGCGAGGCGCACGGATTTTAGAAAATTCATCGCTTTTTTCAGACCGTCAAGTTGCATTTCCGAGCTATACCGAAACACCATCATGACCTCAATTTTAATTAAAGCTAAAAATTATTTTAGGCTCTTGAAAGGTTTTGGCCGAAAATTCCCTAAGAAAAAGGTTGGTTTATGCACCAAAAAATGAGTGCTGTTGAATAGTACCAAAAAAGATTATTTTTGTGGTGTAGGAGTCTAGTTTCTAAGAGAGGGATGTCTACCCTGCAATAATTCGTGCTTTTAAAAGGCGCCTTTTAATAAGCCCAATAGCATGAAAAGGGGTGAAATTTCTGAAATATGGCAGATTTTGTATTAATTTTGAATGCAACTATCCTGAAATAATGAAATGCTTGGTTCTGCGCTTTTCGAAGTGTCGATGAACGAAATGAAGACACTGAGTGGGCGAATCTAGGATTTTCTTGAGGGGCGGACTTTGAAAAGTTTGTAGTTGGTCGGCCAAATTCATTTTCCGAGCACTTCAGAACACTATAAAGACCCTTTTGACCCCTCCGGGATTCGACCCCTGCCGACGCAAAGGGTCCCCTTTTTTTTACTATTTTGAAACGTCAAATTTTGGTAACGGACCCTAAAAACTTTTTAAAGGCGCCTTCGGCGCCAATATATACTAATTTTGAGGGTTTCCAAAAAAAATGCCTAAAAACTCCTTTTTTGGGCTGTTTTTTCAAAGTTTGGCCAAAACAGGGTCTTTTTAGTGCTTTAAGTGCTCGGAAAATCAATTTGGTCGACCTATAAAAAGGCGACAAAATTTTTTGAATTCCGCTCCCACCCCATAGATAAAATCCTTGATCCGCCCCTGCTATTGACCAAGAATTTTGCGCCGAAAATAAGTTTTTGAGAAAAAATCAAACGAGCCGTTAGGCTTTTTTGAAAAGTTTTGACTAATAAATTGTGTTTTTTCGACGCGCGCTCCCTTTCAAAGTTAGTATATTTTGGCGCCTTTAGAAAAATTTGAGTTGGTCGGCCTAAAATGGATGTTAGAAAATAATATCTAAGGAGGGACCCTTTGGTTGGTGAGGTGGTCCAAAACTTGGTTGGTGAGGGTGTCACTTTAGTTGGCGAGGGGGTCACCTTTTTGTTTCCACGTTTTTTTTTTAATTAACTGGCTGTTCTTTTTTGGATGTTTTTTTCTACGCAAGCAAGGTTTGCTTCTTATCAACTCATTTTCTATGTGTTTTTCATTCTGTAGTTTTTTTGTCTGCTCTCAACTATCCATATCGCGAAAAGTTTGGTCCAATATTTTAAATATTTGACAAAATAATCAAAACGAGTTTATTTGCGACTGATAATAAAAGCGACAATGCTAATATCATTAACGTACAGAAAAGATGAATGATCATCGATTTGATAGCACCAGAGATTATATTAAGAGTCGTGTTTTTGAAAGTTTCAGCGGCAAAAAGCGTAAAAAAACTCGAGCTCCCCTTCAAAATTAGTATATATTGGTCGGCCTAAAATGGATTTCATAAAATGTTATCAAAGGGAATTAGCGAGGGGGTAAAAAAAACCGCCACTGAAGACACTTGTTTAGGTTGAATGCTTTTCATTTGTTTTTTTTTTAAAGTCTTTAAGCATTGTTCCAGTTTTTCGGAAGCAATTTTTTTCTTTATCTCTTCTCCTTTTGCATGTTGTGTTGCAATGTGTGTACTTGGTGTTGTATTGCTTGTCTTCTCTGTGTTTTGTCCTATAGTACAAAATAGGCTGGATCGACCAGCTAGGAGAGCAAATCAACCAGCCGTTCAACGACTCAGCCTCCGAACAAGACCTGCTGATGTACCCCCCGCCGACAGCCACAGAAGCAGCAGCACAACTGCATGCCCCCCGTGCTATGCCAGGGGAGCCGGGAGGGGGGCCGTCGATGAAGGCGACCTACATTACGGCACTCTATTTCACATTCAGCAGTCTAACCAGCGTCGGCTTCGGCAATATTTCCCCCAACACCAACGCAGAAAAAGTGTTCTCCATATTAGTCATGTTAATCGGATGTAAGTTGAAATGAAACATGACCGACCTGTCTCTACCGTCCTCCTCTTTTTCCTCTTCTGTAGTCAATTTATGCACCAAAAATGACTTTTAAGCCCAAAATTGGATTATGTGTTAGCCTTTTTTCTTACAAAATGTTCAACCAAGTAGTTGACAGTTGTCATATTCAGTTAAGCGCAGCTTAACCTAAACATGCGATTGTTGATATTCTCGTGGAGTTTGTTTGCAGTTTTAAACACAACTTAATACGTGCGGTCAGAAGTGGTTATGTGTAACATACGGCCTTGAAGGAGCGTAAACTCGTCTTTGATATAGAGTAAACAACAATAACTGTAGTGAACTCAGAGTCATTTTTGGTGTGGAGACGGTTTTGAAAATGAGCCATTCGGTCATGTGCTTTCACTTTCTTTTCATGCTCAGTTAACTTCCATTTTCAGCACAAAATCGGCTGGATAGACAAACTTGCCGACCAGTTAGGGACCCCCTTTGTAGATCCACACTCTCCAGTCAATCACAACTCGACCCCCTTAGTGGGTGGGGGTTTGAGCGGGGGAGGGGAGTATACAGTAACAGGGGGTCCTTCCTTGTCGCAGAAATATATCACGGCGCTCTATTTCGTTTTCAGTAGTCTGACTAGTGTCGGATTCGGGAACGTCTCTCCGAGCACAAATGCCGAGAAGATTTTTACTATCATGGTTATGATGCTCGGCTGTAAGTTGAGTACAGTACATTGTGGTCTCGCAAATGTGTATCGCGTATTTTTCAGTTGGTTTCCTGTCATTTCAACACAAAAAATTTTCATAAAATAGTGACATCAAGCAAAGACGGAAAATTGGACCACTTTTAGGCCTGGTGAACAGCTTATCATTTAATGTATGATTTTTTCTCGAAAGCAAAAATTTTGCCCACTTGATTATGAGAAAGTGACAGGAAACTTGAGTGTTTTTCTTTGGTAGTGTTAACAAAGTAATTGGTTCATTTTTCTGTAGTGGTGTTCCACATCTGTGTTGAAGATTTTTCACGAGTCTTTTTATTTGGTCACTCGGTGTCCGTGCTATGGTTTCCTGCTATATTTTGAGTTGGACGAGTTTTGCGTTAAAATTGATTTCACTATGAAAATGAATCAAAATGATTTTTAAAACGAAATTATATGCTCATTTTGTTTATTGCTATTGATTGGCTTAAGTTGAGTTTGAAAGTGGCACAGACAAGTTCTCCCATGCGATAGTGTCAAAAATTGGAGTAGTTCGAAGTGCCTGTCCATCCTATAGTTTAATCGAATTATTCAGCCGCACTACGATTCATCGTTAAGGTATCACTGAACGGGATCTTGTTAACTATCCCCCGCCCATTTTGATTTTCAGAAATTCAACTTTGGCTGCCACATTTTCAATAGCTTAAAACAATTTTCAGAAAATATATTGAATTGAAAATTTTTATGTAGGTATTATATAAATAGTGAGTAATACAAATACGGGGTCTTATGCACTAAACGGCCCAATATCATTATTTCTACATCTCTTGAACAAATTATTGTGGATGAATTTGATTGGCTAATTAGCCAAGCTAGTTCCATCGACATTTTCTGCCATTTCAATTGAAATTTCAAGCAGATAAAATTATTAGCCGAAATGATAAAGAAAATTGAATTTTGTTTTGTCAAGCCATTTTAGTGAATTTTGCTTGTCTGGGCAAGGTTTCACAAGTGACTCAAAATTAATTTGATAATTTGACTCAAAGTTCCACCTTTTCGGCAATTTCGGCTAATATTTTTATCTGCTAGAAAAGTTGATCGGAATGCCTGACCGTGTAACTTGAATTTGATTGGCTAAAATTACCCAATCAAATTTGATCGCATAATTTTCAGCTTACGATGTAGAAAAATTGATTTTGGGCCGTTTAGTGCATAAGACCCTAAATACGAACGCGCGAAAATGAAAACCCAATTAATGTTTGACGTTTTTGAAGTTCATATTTTATACAGAAATGGTTGTCAAAAATAATACATGCATAGAGGGGAATAGTTAACAAGGTCCAAAAAGGGGAGGGGGAAATAGTTGACAAGATCCCACTAAACGTAGTAAGGGTCATTGTTTAAGGTTTCAGACAGTTTTTTTTCAGATAGACTAAAAGGCAGTTTGAAGTCAATTATTTGAGTTTTTCGAAGTGCCAAAGTTGAAACACGTATTTAAGCCTGTGGTTTTTTATTAGGTAAAAGTCTAACCAGTTGTTCACGCTCAAATTTTTTCTCCCGGTTTCGACTTTTTTCTCTATTGTAAAAGCAATTCAATTTATTATGCTAAACGGAAGGCAATTTACCATCTCGAATAACAAAAGTTGGACCAATTGTGCAATCCCCCGTAATGACCAATTGAGCTATCTCCCGCAATCAAAAACGGTAAAAAGCAACAAAAAGACATCAAACGCAAGCATATGGTTGATGTAAAGGCCCGGATTTTCGTTTAATAACTATTTTTTGTAGTTAACTAACTATTTCTGAAAAAAATGGAGGAAATAAACTCATCAGAGGGATGTGCTTTATATCAACTATCTCTGTTGAAGGTCTCCAGAAAACCGACAGTATTTCGAAAATTTTACAATTACATTGACATCTTCAACAAGGCTTGTCGCGTTGTGGGGAATTGGTTAGATAATGTAAATTACAAAACTGAAAATTTGAAAATTTTCCTGTAAAAGGCTATCACAAATGAAATACTCGGGTTTTAATTACCTTTTCTTCAACTAATTCGATGGTTTTTAAGGATATTTTTAGTTAGCTTAAATGATTTTTTACTTAACTAAAATTCGATGCCTTCTGATGTGCACGTAGTGCGCCATCAATTGACTGACTGAAGTTTTTTTTCTCGTGAAAACTTTTTGAAAAAATTGATACTTTTCTGCAGCAGTTGTTTTTTTTTGCTTTTTTGTTTGGGCGACATTGCCTTGAGGAAAGCAAGTTGTGATGATTTTTTGTTGGTTGTGTCGTTCTCCAAATACAAAACTGAAATATCGGGACAAAATTTAAAATATTTTTAGTTTTGAAGGTGGATTTTTAAAAATATTTCTCTGCGGAACGATAGATCTACCCATTGTATCAGTTTTCTCAAATTGAATTTATTTTATCAAAAAAGTGTCAACCATAATTTGTTCTCGAAATTCAAAGAACTTCAACCTGATATTATTTTTCTTCGAAATTCAAAATTTAAAATGTTCAAAAATTTTTGATCATTTTTTCTATTTTTCGTTGTCATTTTTTCTGTTGGGTTTATGTGAGTTTTGGTGTTTCACTTTTGTTGGAGAATCTGGCTCATGAATTATCATTCAACAGCTTTCAAGTAGTTGTAAACATGTCTTAAGTATTTTGAGCTATCCCCTCACCCGTTAATGGGGGAGGTGGTTGCTCAATTGATCACAAAATTGCCAAAAATTCAAAAATGAATTTCAGAATTCCCAACGGAATAAAAAATTTTCTATTGATCATTTTTTCTCCAGTTGGGTTACTAGCATTTAAAAATGTCAATGATAAAAAATTCTGGTTAAGAGTAATAAACGTAGTGAAGACTCTTATATAGGTCTTGCTGATTTTTTTTTTGTTTTTTTTTCAGGAATTTTAAAGAGATCGTGATGTTTTTGTTTCCAGGAAAGTCATACAATTTGTTCATGTTCAGTTTTGATTTTTCGCTTGTGATTTCTTTTTAAGTTCAGTGCATTTTCATTGTAAAAAGGAGGACAAACTCCACTATTGAACAGCAAAATTGTAAAGCTCACTTCTAATTTTGTAAATGGAAATTAATTATCAGATTTCCCAGCGAAAGAAAAGTTCTACCTATTGATCCAGTTTTTTTCAAATTGGGGTAGTTTAAACAAAAAAAGTCCATCATAAATTGTTCTACAAATTCAAAGAGTTCTAAGGCCATCTAATTTTTTATTCGAAATTCATAAGTTGAAGATTTTTGAAAAAACAAGTCGGTTTTTTTTTCAGTTTTCTTGCGTTCATTACTCTTTTCCAACTGTCAGTTGGCTATGTTTTTTCATAGAGCTTCAAGCATAGAGCATAGCTTCAACTGTATGTTGGCTATGTTAAAAATATACATAACCAGTTCACTATGATGAAAGCATTTTGAAGTTCAAAATCAAGACATCGAACTTCAATTGTTAAAGTTCGTGTCAATACAGTACCAAATGCTGTCCTTTTTTCAAACTTATTTTCATGCACATATCATTTGCATTTTGTTGCTAATTCATGCAAAGCACAGCTTTGCTGTATGTAATTCAGGCCCCCTTCGATCATTTTTTGGTTAGATGAATGAAAAAGTGAGGCAATTGTTTTCGATTTGAGAAATTTAATTTTTAATCTGATGAAATAATATTCTGGATGTCGTGCCAGTTTTCAGGAAAAATGCTTATGATAAGTCCATGCTCACTTTTTGTATCGGACTTCGCATTACCCATTGATCCAGTTTCTCAAATTAGTAATATATGGCACAAAGCGTCAGCCCCGAGATTCTTCAAATTGAAAGTGGTTTTGTGCGATTTAATTTTTTTGAGAAAGTTAACTAAACGTTTAGAAAAACTAGTGCTCTTAAACAAATGCAAGTAGATTTTTTTGTTTTCATTGAGCTCTTGTAGCCCACTCATGTTTTGCATTGGCTCCTTGTGGGTCTTCAAATTAAGCACTCGCAAATTAATTAAATATCAGTGGACAGAACGAAAGTCGTGTGGTGTTTTTTGTTCTTGGCGCTCACGCTCAACTTTGATCGAATGAAGCTATCAAATGAGAAAATTTCAAATGGCGTGGAAAAAAAACAAGAATGAATTTAGTATCAGAAATGGGTTATAAATTTTAAAATTCCCGAAAAATGAGCGGAAAATTGATTACCTAGTGTGTCCTCAAAATTTGATTCCTTTTTCACCCAAAGGCGGTATCGATAATATAAGATTCTGGAACTTCAGAAACCTTTAAAGTGATTTTTAAATTACCTTTGGATTTGAAATTTGAAAACTGGCAATTTTTATAGCATTTTTTTCGGTCTGCTTTCATTCCGTGAAACTGTGTTTGTTGGCTACTTTTGATTTTCAACATGGATTGATTTCTTGTGTCAGAAACGAAGCTGACTTTTTTTCAGAAGCAGTAATATGCTGCCATTTTTTTCTTGGAACTATTAATGGTAGTGCCGATTTTTCATTGGTCAATCGAATCCCAGTGGTTATATTTTCTAGGCGAACTAAAAAAACGTCTAAAATTGCTGGAGCAAAAGGTATTCACACAAATGACGAATTGTTCTGATGCGGGACTTTTGCTTTCAGCTTGAATCGCTTTAGTGCCAAGTGTATGTATAATTGAACAGTTGATTGCGAAAGGAATCCTTCTGTTTGCTTAAATATTGGAGCCATTTGCCTGTTTGTATCGTTTGAAGTTGAAGTCCTTCCTATTTTGCACTTAGCTTACCAGCGTTATTAATTTTTCTTTTCAATAGCTAAGTACAGTCCGCACGATGTCCTATGCAATTTAGCTGTGGGAAGTTTCGAATAATTTGGGATGAATTTAGGAGTTCTTTCCCAGATGAATTTGTAGAATAGCGTTGATTTAGGTCCTTCAGAATGTCTATTTTAGTCTGTGTTTACTTTTACAGTAGAAGAAATAGCGTCCTGCTCCGTTATATATGTTGCATGTTGACCGAATTTCTGTTAGAATTGTTTAAACTAAGCGTTAGTGTTAGGGTTGAAATAAGCAACTGAAAAGAAGCTCATAAAAACCTGCAGTCTTTGTTGATACAAATTTTTGCAACATGTAATCACAGTTGCATAAATTTGAAATTCAACTTTTCATGCTGCCATTAAGAGAATACAATTTGGAACTAAAAATGCTGTCTGGTCGAAAGCCTGTATGTAATCAACACAAACAATTTAAGTCATGATACATATAATTCGACATAGAAGTTGTCTTTTATGACTATTTTCTAGGCTATTTGTAATGATCATTTTTCCATGCATAATTATATTTAACGATTGTTTGTTTTGACCAAAGGAGTCAGGTGTTTTCATTTTCTGTTGACCCCAATCACAAAATCACCGCAATTGGGAAATTAAATTGGAATTAGACTTTAAGGTAGAAGTGTTTGTTGAGAAAACAAGAAATTGATTTGTTGGAAGTGGTGCCATACTTAAACATGGTTCAGTGACGTATTTAATTTGTGTTCACGAATATGAAGCAGGTTTATTGGTGGCTATTTCTGAAGTTGTGAATTAGATAGTTAAAATTCAGCTGCATTTCATGAGTGCAATGACGGAATGTTAGCTGTTGTCTTGAATGGATGCCTAGTTAGTACTAAGGGTCGCTTATATGTTTGACCTTGATTTGACCTGGATGAGCAGAAGGAACGAAAAAAAATTGATTTGAAGAATGGATCTACATATAATTGCATATATTTCAAATACTGATTGCAAATTAGTTTTAAGTTCTGCTCTTTGGCTGATCTAGTTAGTGCACCACAGGTTCTTTTCTGAGTATTGAACTTTATTGTTGATAGATAGAAACAGCTGTTCTCACGGCCGAAGGACCAAATAGCAGACAAATTGTGAACCAATCAAAATCCTTTCAGGTGTCCAAAACTGGCTAGATGGTCATATTTTCTTTTAGATAATCAGTATTTTGATTGGATTAAATTTGATTTGGCCATTGTGTCCTTCTGCTAAGAGGGATTCAGCGGATGTGAAGAGTTTCCTTTTGAGTGTTGAGTGTTTCAATCCGATGTTCACGCAACACAAGTAGTGTTGAAGGTTGGGCGTGAAGCAATTCGATGTACATGCAGTTGAAGTGTGTATTGTGTGATTTGTTTCAGCTCTCATGTACGCCTCCATATTCGGAAATGTCTCGGCCATCATCCAGCGACTGTACTCGGGAACCTCGAGGTGAGTTTAAATTGCACATGATGGAAAGGTCATTTTCGATCAGTCATTACCCTTGGCATCAGTTAACAGTTTTACTATGATAAACCTTTGCTTCATTAGTAAATTCACGTGTTTAAACTTGCTTCATTATAAATTCAAATTCAATCAAACATCCTGCGCATCTGACTTGCGATTGCAAAGGGCTGTCGTTCGAAATCGGCCGGGACCTGAGTTAGAAATTTTCTGCTTTTCGGACTATCATCAGGCTGTTTATTTTTGTCGGCTTTCTTCCCGTAATCAAACCGATTCTTTCAGAGTAGACGAATGTAGTTCAGACCCCAAATAGGTCGAGATGATTTTCTTTCTCGTTTTTTTTTCCAGAAAATGTCGTAAAATTTGTTCAGGCTCAAATTTACTTTTTTTAGCGGTTTGACTTGATTTCTTTTTGTTCAGTTCATTTCTTTTGTTTAAAGGAAGACAAACTCCAACATCGAACCAGCGAAAAATCATAAATTGTTCCAGAAATTAAAGAGCTTTAAAGTCATGTATTTTTGCTTTGGAATTCGGAATATGTTTACTTCTCTGGATTGATTTTTGTTTTCTTTTCAAGCTCAGCTCATTTCGTTTGTTAAAAGGACAGAAAACTTGGCTATCGAACAGTAAAAGTGTAAAGGTCATGAAAAACATGATCGACTTCTAGTTTCAAAAGTGGATTTAAATTTTGCGACTTGCAACTAGACCGAGATGTTTGATTGTTAGATACCACACGCAGCTGAGGCGAATCCGCGAGTTCATCAAGTTCCACCAGATCAAGAATCCACTGAAGAACAAACTGGAGGAGTACTTTCAACACGAGTGGAACTACAGGAATGGAATCGACATGCGATCTGTAAGCAGCCATCATTACCAGTTTAACTCATAATAGATCAAGTTCAAACTCCCATCCCTAGAGTGTTCAGGCAGGATAGTAATAACACTGTCTGAATTGGATCTTTCAGCCTATCAGAGTCAAGCGTATTACTCGCAGCGCTGGGCAGTTTTATTCTAAATTGTAAACTGGGTGAAACATCTTTTTTTTTGGGGGGGGGGGGGGGGTGGGGGATTGTTAACTTGATTGCTCATAAATAACTGGCTCTTTTAATCTATAAAATATTCATCAGTTAGCTGGTGAAGCGTTAATACAAAAACAAGTGGGCAAGTTGATTAGCATACAATTTTTGTAGAAACTTAAGTTAACACAATTTTACCAAGCTAAACACTTTTTTATCAATAGGTTTCAGAGGTAAAGTTGATTATTTTAACTGATCAAATGTTCATGACACGCTATGTTATTTTTGAAAAGCACTTATGAATGAGTGAGCATGTCTGTTAGTTTGTTTGTTTGCAGGTGCTGCTCACTTTCCCCGAGTGTCTGCAGGCGGACATCAGACTTCACCTGAACAATGTGCTGCTCAGCAAGTCAAATGTATTCACAGGTTGTTCATCCTTTCCTTTAATCTAATCTGCGGTTGTTCATTGACAGTTGGAGAGATTTAGCTGAATAATAATTTTGGGTTGGGGCAAATGTTGTGGACAATCTGGTGCCCCCTATGCCGTTCAACTCAAAATAAATTTCTAGCACACCTCTTTTGGTGAACAACTCCAAGTTTAAGGCAATATTTACTCAAACGGAGAGTAACTGACTACTCATCCATGCAAACTGCTTCTAATAAGATTGGGTAATGCTCGAAGAATGAGGCATCTATTTGAGTCTTTTTAAATGTTAGTTTATTTTCTGCTTCTTTCCAGATGCATCTCTGGGCTGTAAGCGTGCACTGGCTCTCAAGTTCGAGACCACCTCCATCCCCCCGGGAGACAGTCTCATCTTCCAGGGGGACCGACTGGACACTCTCTACTTCATCGCCAGGGGCTCCATAGAGATACTCGGGGGAGAAGACGATGAAGTGGTCGCCATTCTAGGTAAGTTTGTACCATTCACACTTTCATGGTTTGCTCTCAAATTGTTTCATATCCCAGTGTCGATGAATGCAGTGAACACACTTATAAAGGCTGTATTAATTTTTTCCGTTTTTTGAGGAAAAAATTGATTAAATATACTTTTTCGCAGTTTGACTTTTGTTTTTTGTCTAAGTTCAGTTCAAGTTCATTTGCTAAAAAGACTGGATCCAGTTTTCAAAAGTTGGGTTAGCTTAATTAAGCAACGACGAACGTGGTGAAAAATCTTATAGATCGTGATGTTTTTTTTTCCAGGAAAAGTCATAAAATTTGTTCACGTTCAATTCAGATTTTTCGCGGTTTGACTTCTGATTTCGTTTCAAGGTCAGCTCATTTAGTTGTTGAAAGGAAGGAAAACTCCACACTTTTAGTTAGGAAAGTGGATTTCAGATTTCAGGTTTCCCAGCAAAGTCAAAATTTTCGATTGATCCAATTTTCTCAAAGTGTTTATCAAAAAGAATAAGTTGTTTTTGGAATGCAAAGAGCTTTAAGGCCATCTATTATCTGCTTTGAATTTCGAAAGTGTAGGTTTTTCAAAATAGAAAGGCGTAGTGTCCTGATATTGCGTTGTCCAAAAGAAACATAGGATTTGATACTTCGTGTTTCCTTGGGGGGGGGGGGGGGGAGCGGATTTTTACTGTAACCATGATGCAAGAATTTTTTTTCGACATTTTCAACTAGGGTACCGTGATATGTTTGCGTGGTATCGCAAGTGGTGCGAAGCTCCGCCTCGCCTCTGTGAATTTGTTGGAAACCTGAGGAATGAAGATGAGTTTCTCTCTGATTAGATTCGGAAGATGTGTTTGGGGATGGGGAGGCGTTCGCTGCTAACATGAGTCCCAGAGCAGTAGGCAAGAGCAACTACGTGGTGAGGGCTTTGACCTATTGCGACCTGCACAAGATCAGACACGAAGATCTCCTCGGTGTGCTAGACTGGTATCCGGAATTCACACAGAGTTTCTACGAGCAGCTGCAGGTCACCTTCTCTCTCAGAGACGTAAGTCGGCTGTCCTTCTAATACTTAGTTAATCGAATCAGTTACATCCTATTCCAATTGCACAACACTTTCTCTAAGTGTGTTTTTGCTAATCTGAAAATTTTGTTCACCGTGTCCCGAAATACTGATTAACACTCTCCTGATTAAAATGGTCTCGTGATATCATTTGCTAGAATTTGTGAAGGTGGCTTATATTTTGTAAATCTTTTTCAGATATAAAATCTGCTATTTTTGCGTTCTGCAATGGTGTGAAAATTTTTCTTCGGACTCTCAAAAATTGCAGCTGAGTGAATAGTGGAATAACTATCGTTTCAGACAAGTCTGGACACGTCTGGTGCGAAGCCTCCAAATCCAGACATGATTCCGATGTCACAGCTCGACCACATCACTGCAGTGTCCCAACGCATGAACAACTACGGGGAGTTCCACAGACGCCAATCGCAGCGACGCCCACTCCATCCACAGAACCAGCCTGGACAAATGGGGGGATATCACGACTCAACTGCAGACCCCTTCTCGTACTCAGACAGTCGAGTTAATACTGTGGGAATGCCCAGTGACTATGCTGGTAGGCAGCATTTTTACAACAATGAATGTGTTTTCAGAGCTAAAGGTGTACCATAAACCAACCTTCCTTATTCACTCAAATTCAGCCCAAAATAGAGGCCATAGTAGAGCAGAGCAGGAGAGGTAGATTCGCCTACATTTATTTTTACGATACATTGCTTGATCTTTTCCGGTTGAAAAATCTTTGTAAAAAAAGGTCGGATGGTATGAAAACAGACACGCGCACCCATAAACAAACAAAACTTTCCGTTGTTTATAGATAATGGATCATGGCATTTTGCAATATTTATGTTTCAGCAAGTCCTAAGATGGCGTCCTCGGACGTGAACTTGCAGCGGGGGTTCCCGGGTCTGAGTCTGGCTCCCAGCATGTCTCTGGACGGCGGCCTGGAGCCAGCAGCAATTGGAAGTGAGTTGTTGCTCTGTTTTGTCATCTGTTGATGCACAACTTGGCAATTATTTTTACTGAATCTATCATATAACTAGCATCCAACCAGTTTCCTACAACCGATTAACTTCGAAAGAAAAGTTTTTTTTCAATTATTTTTTGGTAAAGTTTTCGAATTAGGTTTTTGTCAAAAAAATGACTTCAAAAGATGGCCGAATATCTTCTTCCTCTCTCAGTGTGAAACATGAATATTTATACTTCGCGCAACATTTGCATGATGGCCGGTTCGATTTCTCATTTTATCTATGGTTTGCCGAGTTGTAGTGAGCAAGCTATGGCTTTGCGAAGGCTTTGTGTTGATAATGAAACTTGTTTGGCTGCCTAAATTTAAAAAGGTGCTCAAAAAGGATTATGAAAGCCAAGAAATTTGTGTCCAGTTTTTGATGTGGATTTTGAAGATGTTATGTGAAAAGTGTGTTTGATTGATTTAGAATCTCCTCCCATCTCAGGTGGTGGGCCAGTGCAATTGTCTCGTGGGGATCTGAAGGTGCTGCACTCTCGCATGTCCCAGCTGGAGAACAAGCTGGACGAGATGGAACTCAACATCACATCCCAACTGCACTTCATCACACAGTCTCTCATGCTACAGATAAACAACAACAACAGCAACAACAAACAGCAGCAGCAGCAACATCATCTACAGAACATTAACAACAACAACACACTCTATCCTAACCAGTGAGTTAGATTGGACGGTAGAGATAATATTTAATCAGTTCTATAGGTTGATTCTTTTTAGCAAATGCAACAAAAACGTATTTAGTTCGTATTCAGGATGAACACCCGTTCTCATAAAGAACCGTTCAACTTTTTTGTAACTTCATTCGTTGATAAATGACCTTAAACTTCGGTCTATCTTTTTTCACTTGTGAAAGTTTTCTTTTTCATTATTTATGTATGTTCACCTTGTTTTTTCATTACAATAGCAATCAGCTTAGTGTATTATTAGCAATCAGCTTAGTGAACCTAATTGGAAATTTCGTTGTAGCATTGGAAATTGCATAGCATCTGTTCTTTGTTTTACTTGTGGCTTGTGCTTGGTAGCCATTAAGGTTCCGCGGCTGAGTGGATCTCTAGGTCGCAGTTTCGAATCTCAGCCGTAGCCGATTTTTTTTTACTTATTCGAGACTCAATTCTAATTTTTCTTATTGCACTTTAAAGAGATAGTGTTTGTCCTGTACTCGCTAGTGTTTGCGAAGCGAAGCTTCGCCTCTGTGTATAACCTTGTCACCGTTCAGTGCCCTTCCAACTCGGTATAGGGGTGAAGCACGGGACTCATGAACTTTAGGTATGTGAATCGGCCCTCGTCGGGGCACTGTTATGACTTATAAGAAATTGACTATGCTTTTTATGGCTTTTCAACTGTTTTTAGGCCCCTCTCAACTGGTACAGTTGTAAAGCATACGCCTTCGGAACATCAGGTCCAGGGTTCGAGTCCCGGTTGGACATTTTTTTTCGGTGTTGAAATAATTTGTTTGAAATTTCGGACTGTCATTTGTCAACTTACTTTTTGTCGTCTCGCATCGATTTTTTTCTTCAAAGCATCAATTTTTTGTGTTTAAGAAATTTATACTTAAGTTCAAAGTGTGTTCCTAATATGTTACTAGTCTGTAGTTTGTAAGTTTTCTATTTTTAGTTTATTTAACTATATATTTTTTTATCGCGTAAATTGGTTTGACTTATGCTATTTTGACTTAGTTAGCTCGTTTTGCGTGATATAAATTGAAAAAATTGATTCTTATGCTTTCGTGCATTTCAAAGGACGGAGCTTCAAACTTAGATTTTTTCTTTTTGTTTTCCACGCAAAACCAGCTACCACAAGTAATCATCAGACTGGGTTGAGTTATATATCGTGTGAAAGCCCTTTCAGTCGTAATTCGAACCACGAAAAATTTCTGGGAAGCAAAAACTTCAAAAAATTGGAAAAATTCTGCAATAAAATTTCAAAAAAAAATGAAATCTTATGATTTTTTTATTTCTGTTTTTCTAGTCAATTTTCTAAAAAATGCTTGTGTCTTATTTGACTGAATTACTATGAATGTCAAATATATGTAAAATATAGTTTTACATTAGACTTTTTTGTCTCCTCACGCAGAAAAACTAATTTGAAGAAAAAAGCTTTATCTTGTAGTTTTTTTGAACGTTCGGAACATTCTGTGCTACCTGCACAGTAACCGGCTATCCTTATTTCGTTTTGTTGTCGATTACAATTTTCGTTTTATTTTCATAATTTCGTTTTGTTTTAGAAAATCGTTTTGTTTTCGAATATCGTTTTGTTTTCGAAAATCGTTTTATTTTCGATTCAACTTGCGTCTACCAAACTTTTGTCGGCTTAGTTGCCGCTCCTTTATTGGTTTTTAGCGGCGGTATTTTCATTTGGCATATTTGTCTCTAATGGAAGATCGAAACCAATATGTTAGTTTGTAGATGGTTTTATTCGATTTTTAGCCGCAGGTTTTTCGAATTGTTTCGATCGCTTGGTCTCATTTTCTGTCTGCTAATTTACAATGCCTTGTTTGTCTATTATTGCAATTGTTGCGAAGATCCACTTTGCTTCTGTGTTGATTCTACATGCGCTCTTTGTTGTTTTAGAAGACATCAGCCTCATTCATTACAACAACCTCATCTGCACAACTCCTACTCTTTCGGAGGACCAGCAAAGTCTCCTTTTGTCCCCTCGCCTCTAGTTACATCAGGCACAGATGACATAGCAAGTGGAGGAGACCACTTCTCGAGGCTGTTAACAGAAACCAAGCTGACAGAGCCTACGAACACAATCAGCAAATCTTCTTCCTCGCATTGTTAAAACAAATAACCGGTTCACAAAATGAACATCAATTTAGAACTGTGTTGTGAAGAAAAGTGGAGGTCACAAAATGAAGATGAGCTTTAGGGAAATATTCTACATCTGTTACAATCAGAATGAGCATCTGTTACTTCACTAATCACTGTTCTCAGGGCCAGATGGTTCTTAACGAGATCTTCCAAAATGGGCTTCCGAAAAATGCCGAAATTATCATGTCTTCTATCTGTTATTGTCTGGATTGCAATTTGAAATTGATCTTGTTCCGAGGATCTTGTTGAGATTTGAAGTCTTGATATCAAAAGCAGTTTCTACCGGTCATATGATTGAAGGCAAACTTTGAGGTTGGTGAGATGCGCAAGCTAATTTATCTGGTTATCTTCAATCACAAGAATCTGGAGTATTCGAAAATGGAAGTCCAAATCAGAACTGTACTAAATATTTAAAAAAACTTGATATCTGTACTTGATTTTGCAATGTTAAGATCAGGCCAGGTTTAGTTGTTCCTGCGTTGTGCTGAATTTGTATCGAATTGTTGTTACTTCAAGTGCAATTATTTATACACTTGTACACTTAGATTACAATAACTGTTCATTCACGTTACATTGCTTATTTAGTTGCTTCGTCTTAGTGAGCTGTTTTAAATAAATTGAGAATCTACGTGGGCAGTGTTCCTCTGCTTCTATGCAGAATTTGAATGGAAAGACTGCATTTGAAAATTCGTATGTTTTCATTTTATGAATAAAGAAGCTACTGTTGAAATGTTGTTTTAGTTTCGCTTTTCAAATCTGACTTATTTACACGAGCCAATTTTAGTAAGCATTAGTGTTGTACTAAGACTATTCTTTGTTTTTCTAACGTAAGACGCAGCCTAAGTCGCTAAACTTTTGAGGCACCTAAACGGCTTATTGATGGCATGTGTATTGACATAAGAATAAAAATAAGTTGACACAGTTGATGCATTTTTAAGAGTAATGAACGTACTGAAGACTCATATAGGTCTTGCTGTTTTTTTTCAGGAAAGTCTTAAAATATTGATCCACTTAGGTATATATGCACTTTTTGAGTTCAATTGAAATTAATCTGCTGAAAGTGACGTAAATATCACTCTCCAAATACGAACGTGCAAATGGCGCGAAAAACCGTGAATGATTAATAGTTTCAAAAAGGAATTTAATTTTTATATTTTCAGAGGAATAAAAACTTTACCTGTTGATCCATCTTTGTCAAATTTGGTTATTGTTATTAAAAAAGCGCCAATCATAAGTCGTTCTAAAAATTCAAAGAGCTAAAAGGGCATCTATTTTTTTCCTTGAAATTCGAAAATTGAGCTTTTTCAACAAAGTTAGTATTTTTTGTTCACTTGCGTTCATTACTCTTTTCCAATCTTCGATTGGCTATGTTTAATTCATCAGATGAACCAAAAAAGCCATTTGTTTCAAACAACATAACAATAATAAAAACTCGATTGCAGAAGTTTTCTAACTCAATATATCTTGCAATCTTTGAAAGGAATAATTTATGCATTTTGCTTTCCAAACTACTTCTCGCAAAATTGTGTCAATTTGTATTTGGTGCCATTTTTGCTGCATCGCATTGGCAATTTGTTAGCATATGTAGCTGCTTTATTTGTGACTAGTGTTTGCCGGTTGTTAAGCATTCGTGGCCGGGAGGGCAGGGCGTGAGGCTACAATTCTCGAAGTTGCAGGTTCGAAGTTCATACGCAGCAAAGTGTTACTAATTCGAGGCTTATTTCTATCTTTTATCAATTTTCAAAATTGTGCTTTTTTGTGTTCTCGCTAGTGTTTGCGGAGCGCAGCTTTGCCTCTATGTAAATGTATTGGTTTTCAAAGTATTAACTGAAGCAAACTGCAATAATGACGAATTTTTGCAAATAGTTGAACAATTAAATCTACTTAACCGGTTGAAACATGAAACCGATCTGCTCGCCATATTTATCTAGGATGTGGCGGTAAATGCTATACCAGACAGCCTTAGCTACGAAAGTTGGTGTAGATACTTCTTTGTGTACGTGCACGGTACAAGCATAGTCTTTCCAAAACCTTTGAAGTTACAAAAAATCAATGCGTATTCCACTAAAAACAATAAAAAAAACGAAACGAATTGTCCTTAATTGAGGTTGCGTTCTAGTTTCTGAAGGAAGAGTTATTACACTTTTGCGAGCAACTTTGTTTTACGAATGCTTCAGAGCTATTTTGACTTCGCGCATATGTTTTCATGTTGTCTTCATATTAAATTCTCATTCAATGTATACAACCAATACAGTGCTGATTTAAATTATTCGGACAAAATGAACAAAACTTGAGTTTTCAAACGCGTTTTTCTCAAATTGTGTGAAGATAAGACAAAAAGTGAAGAGAACAAAAGTTGTTTAAAATTTCATCAGAATTATTATGGTCTAATTTTCTCTCCGAATTTCTCAACCAACATTTTACCCCGAAAATGGGTAACTTTGTTTTTTTTTTTTCATATAACCAAAAATTACGCTGAAACTACTTTGTTAATTGATAAGAAAATAATATCACAAGAAGCCTCCTACACAGCCCAACAAAGTTAAACAAGAGTTAAATCTCCAAAAACTAGTATAAGAGAAAAAATTTTTACTTGATAGTCAATAAATGTGATTTTTACTGTATAAAACCCAGAACCTCTGTTTAAAAACAAATTATCAACAATTTGGGCAATATTTTGGAGAATTGAACCTTATTTAACTTTGTTTGGCTGTGTAAGAGGCTTCTTGTGATATAATTTTCTTATCAATTAACAAAGTAGTTTCAGCGTAATTTTTGATTATGTGAAAAAGCACCAAAGTTACCCATTTTTGGGTAAAATGTTGGTTGAGGAATTCGGAGAGAAAATTACACCATATTAATTCTGATGAAATTCTATGCAACTTTTGTTCCCTTCACTTTTTGTCTAATCTTAACCCAATTTGAGAAAAACGCGTTTGAAAATTCAAGTTAAGTTCGTTTTGTCCGGATAATTTGAATCAGCACTAGTACAATGATCTTACGATGCTACTTGTTTCTAAGCATAGCTGTTTTTTCGCAATTATCACCCAAAACAAACGCATAAAAGTAGGTCTAGGTTCCAGTTTTTTCCAAACAATGTTTTTGACAACTTTTTGTCTAATTTAGTGTCACATAGCTTGCGACGATATGGTTGTGATGCTGTTCACACATGTGTGAAAAAAATTGGTTGATTTTCACCATTTTTAAATGCTGTTAATTTTTAAAGAGCTGCGTAGGAAAGTCCACTTGGAGTATTAGGAATTCAAACTGAATCGGATAAATGCACCATGTGACGTGTACAGGTGGCGGGAATTCAAAGACAAGTCTTTAAACATGTTAAAGTTTTGTGGGATAATTTGAATCAGCACTGTAGTACAATGATCTTACTATGCTACTTGTTTCTAAGCATAGCTGTTGTTTCGCAATTGTCATCCAAAACAAACGCATAAAAGTAGGTCTAGGTTCCAGTTTTTTCCAAACAATGTTTTTGACAGCTTTTTGTCTAATTTAGTGTCACATAGCTTGCGACGATATGGTTGTGATGCTGTTCACACATGTGTGAAGTAAATTGGTTAATTTTCACCATTTTTGAATGCTGTTAATTTTTAAAGAGCTGCGTAGGAAAGTCCACTTGGAGTATTAGGAATTCAAACTGAATCGGATAAATGCACTATGTGACGTGTACAGGTGGCGAGAATTCAAAGACAAGTCTTTAAACATGTTAAAGTTTTGTGGGAATGATCAAAGAAAACGAATTAAGAAAAATCAAAGATAGAACTCTTGTTGCGCAATCCGCTTGAAATCCACAAAATACACTGTTTAGTGTCTTATTGAGAATCGAGGCGTTTATATCATTTCCAGAAGAGGGCTTTGGTCGAATCTTTTGAATTGTTAAAGCTACAAAAGATCACTGCGTAAATTCGAAGCTCCACTTCGAAAGCCTGCGACAAATTGCCATACTTTTTTGTTGTTTGCAAAGGAAAAGTTGGGCTGTTTTTAGTCTTTGTAATTAACTGCAATCAGTTGTTTTCAGCTGATTTGAACCCCTGAATGCGCAACTGGTGTCTGTCAACAATATAACGTTAAATATTGTCAAACTACATATACCGGCTATGGGAGTCAAACAAGGTTGGAGTAAGTTATTGCACAGTCAAAAATGATTTTGAAGATTGTTGGAAAAACGTGCGGATAGTTCGAAGTTCAGCGTTTATCTCAGTTTTCATGTTTCAGGGAGAGCTCGAAACATGAAAAACGAACTGTTTCGAATTACTCAGAAAAATCAAAATGTCACTCATTACAAGAAAAATCTGAGATTTACCCACTCTGAATAAATGAATAAAGAGAAAAAATTAGGCGAGCTTGCTTAGAAAAGTTTTTGAGAAATTTTTATCACGTAAAATGTGTGTCACGTGCATGTTTCAGGGGGTCTTTAATTCGAAATAAAATGCTAAGAATTACTCAAAATACTAAAAATACAAAAATAATCTGAGATCTTACCCACACTGAATTAGGAGAAAAAGTCAGGTGAGCTTGTTTCTAACAAAAGTTTTCGAGAAATTTATTTCTCGTGGAGCAAATTAAAATAAGCAAAGTTTTCTATGGGTCCAAGTCTTGAACAAATGTTAGTTACTAGCTGTATAGCAATTTGTTGCCAGATACATCAGGTAGTAATTTATTTTTAAAATACTAACTTATTTTTTTCGTATTATAGTTTTTGCGTCTTGATATAAAAAGCATAAGATTTATCTACTGTTGCATATGAATAATTATTGATTCCCATGTGATCTGAGAACTTCAATATTTCGCGGTGCACCCCGTCACTGATTTTCAACGTAGCGAAGATAAGCAGTGTGCCACGCAAATTCTTGAAGATTATATACACTGGTTCTAGGAGTCAAACATGGTTGGAGTGAGTTCTTGCACAGTCAAGCTCTTTTCCATTTTCCCTCCCTCATTTCAATTTTTCCATTTTAAGAGTTGTACTATATGTTATAACAGCTAAATGCGTGACGGTCCGATAGATGTAAAGAATGAAGAACAAGTCTGTTCACAATTGTTGGTTTCTTCACCATGCAAAACTTCACTGCTTTATGGCAACGTTGAAAAATTTTTTGAAACTTGAAAATAAAGGTGGGAAGGTAAATGGAAAAAAGCCCACAGTTAAAAATGAAATTGAAAAAAATTGTTGGAACAAAGAGCTGATAGTTTGAAGCTCCGCATTTATATCAATTTTTAAATTTCAGGGGGGCTTTAATTCAAAATTAAAGTGTTTTGAGTTATACTCAAAAAAAGCACGTTCCTTATTTTTAACATTTAATAGGATTATTGGAAAAATCACTCAGGTAACACCATTTGCAGTCCTTTTTTGCACTGTTGTATTTTACTAATCGTGTTTCTTGTCTTCATATCTAAATACATGAAACATTACGATTATAATTAAATTACGGGCTTACGATTATTATTACTCCTATGACAATAAAAACGGTCGTTTAAACGGTCGGGAAAAACTCAAAAACAATTAAGTGCAGGGTTTCCAGAATAATTGGCATCATTTTTCCATTAATCGAAATTTCACGATTCTTTAGCAACTGCGGAATATGGGCATTTGAACAACTCTCATCAACCAGAATATTTTTGTGAACAATTCTAAACATCATAACATATTGCAATAAGTTGAGGCTGAACAGAAAAAAGTTTCATCAACTACAGCCAACAAACAATTTTAAGCAA